GCTGGCGGTGAAATGCTTTTGGGCTGCCGAAGTCATGCCCTGGAGCACCATCATCAAATCTTGCTGGTACTTTTCGTTGCCGCGCGAGAAATGGCGCTTTCGTTTTACCTTGGCACTCCTTTACTACGCGGTCGTAAAAACCGTTAAACTCTTTATCTTAACGTATGCGCTTGTAATAATTGCCTGTAAGATTGGAAGAATTAATAGCCTCTTGGATGTTGCAATCTTTACTCTGCAAGGTTCGAGATAATTCTTCACCTGGACTAAACACAAGGTAGGACAATCTTAAACCAAACAGAGTTGAGAATGTCTTGAGTCTTCTAAGCATACCATCTGCTTTTAGAGCAACATCTCCACCTTCGTCAACAACATTGTTGCAGGTTTCTTTTAGAGCCTCGTAGTTGTCCAAGACAGCTTTAATAGTGTCACTTCGAACTGTCCAACGAGTTGGGCAAAGAGGTTTAAGATTCTGGTGGCCATAAAAGATAGCTTGTGCCACATAATGTAATCCAAGAATAATTATTATACCAAACAACTTGAAATGTCCTAACCCGAAAATTTTTTCCAACACCAGAAGCTTGAGATGTTTTTTCCAGGATAGTTTTAGAACGTGGTTGAAAAGGTTCAGTCGAGTCTTCAGCACAACATATATTTTTACATTTAGCACTACCCTGGAAAATGAATTTCGTATGTGCATGATTAGCTGACATTAAGTTTGAAACCTAGCAGTAATATGTAAAATCCAGCACAATATAAGTTATGTTTGAAATACTTAACCTGTATATACAGTCTTTATAGTACTGATAAACTTTATATATAGATTATAGTCTTTATATAGAAATTATAAATATACCTGATGATCAATAATATTTTTATCCAAGACTGTTATTGGTTGGTGTTCTTCACCAAAACTTTCATCTGCAGTATAAGTATAACGTAAAATATATAACTTAGATATTTTAACACATTCTTCACTTTAGGATTTAGTGATTTACTGGCTTATAGAACAGAATAGGCAATATGTTGAGTCGCTAAAGTCATAAATATACTATACTACCCGTATACTATAAATTAAAAACGTAAAAGCACCTACCTTGGTTTGCCGAATCGCTAAGGTCTCTACGTTCGGTTTCTTCGTCAGAAGACGCGGAAAGAGATGGGTTATCATCCTCCTGTTGATATCATCCTCCTGTTGATAATAGAACGAGAACGGCCAGCACTCATGTTTTATTCATATTTTGCTTGTGATTGCGCTAGATGATAACACTTAGCGAAGCAATTGCCGCTGCCTAACACATCAAAACTCCGTGATAAAACAAATAATCGCTCAAAAATCAAAATTGCGATGAAGGAAAAATTTTATCCATGTAAATTTTGATCACAGATACGTGTATTACTAAAATGTATACACAATTTTAAATACTTTCAGTTTCGAATTTCACTGCATTTATTGTAAATTGAGTAAATTCAATAATTTTTGGGGGGCAAAAAGCTATCTCGGCCCCCCTTATAAATTGTTGGGGGGCCCCGGCCCCCCTGCTTCCTACGCCCCTGAATGCTTTCCTCTCCACTGTTGACCAATGCTCTGGTTTGTTTCCCTTTGTATTGCTATTTTAAATCAATTTGAAAAGACCCATTTTAAAATATGTATTATAACAAGAGAAGAGTATAAGGCAGCATTCGGACTGAGTGGCCGGCACTGGTGCCCAATGTTCAAAATGGTTCACAAAACATGTTGAGCACAGTGCCGTTGTTGAGAACTACCTCTGGAGGTAGTGCCCTTTCTTCATGTTCAAACTAGGCACCAAAACAAGTGATGGGCACCCAGTCTGGACGCAGCCTAAATCAATAACTTATTTTGGGCATTTCAATCATGAATAAGAACTTAATGTTGTTTTATCATTTATACTTCCACTACAAGGTAAGGCCCAACCTTGAGACCTGCAACTCTGTAATTCCAGTGTGGCACTCCATGTTCCATGTCTGCATTGTGTCACAGATTTCCCTCAGTATTTTATAGTTGACGGGCGCAAGCTAGCAAAGAATAATGTAAATTATGAGTAATTTTGGGGCATTTTTCCAAAGAATTTGTAAATTTTACACAGAAATATAAATTTAGGAGTTAAAATCTTTTATTTAAAATATATTTTCTGTACGTTGCACAATGAATAACACCGTTTATACACATAAATATAGAAACATAGTAATTTATTTACATATCTTCTTGGGGTGGACATTGAATAGCGACTTTCTAGATGAACATCTTTGCTCACTTCTGTTGGTTTTGGCAATTGGTTTACCAGAAGTTGAACCACTCATCACCGCAGATCTCTTCATTTTCAATTGCTTCCAGAGCAAAAACTATCAGGGGTAGACCCGGGTAGACCCCAATATTTAATTTAAGCAATGTTTGAACTACATAACCATCCAAAAAGATTAGTGTTTAGCTCAAAAAGTAGATTGTTTCTGTACGAATTCTGTAGAGTAGTTTTCACGCTAAATCCAATATGGCCGACTTCCAATAACTAATGTGTAAATATCCAGATGGTACCCAAAATCAAGATGTTACAATTGGAGAGAAACACTAGGATTTCTTCCTAGCCCCACAAAGTATTGTTGTAGTACATGGAGAAAATGCTAGCAGTCCAGATAGTACCCATAACTAAGATGTTCCAATCGGAGAGAAGCACCAGGATTTCTCCCTAGCCCCACAGTAGATTCACCACTGTGAAGGTAGCCACGGATTGGGCCTCAGATTCGGCCTCAAATTGGGCCTCGGATTGGGCGATTTGGGCCTCACATTCAACTGTATTCAATCATTCAAAAGTAGATTATTTGAACCCCTTTTTCTGGCTACTTTTAAGGTATTTTTTTACTGTAAATTAGCAGTAATATCAGCAATACAACGTGTCTATCGTATGCTGTGCAAAAAATAGAAAAAGAGGCTTATTTGTGGTTAAGACACTGCATTTACTTGTTTGATTTTATATGTTATAGATTAATAAACTTTCGACATTTGCCGTAATTCATGCAGCAAACGTGGTAATGTTAAAATTTAAGTATAATGTAGATATGTCATACTGCTTCCACGAGTAATAACAATAACATGGCACAAGCACAAAAACCTCCGATTTTTCATGATATGTAACACTTGCGAGAATATGGACTTTACTAAGTCCATATTATCGCAAAATTGTGGCTAAGATTCATATAAAGTGGATTAACAGTGGAGAGAGTTACCCTCTTTCCAATACAGAACATAATTAATAACAGCAGAAAACATTCCATTTTATATGAGATGTACCACTGTGCGAAACCATCATATATATTGTCAGTATAAAAGGTCATTCCATCTTCAGCCACGATTTAACTTGAATCTCCAAACCCAATTGCTTTGAAGCTAGGTCAAGTATGTTGTATAGTATTTTCCAATCTCTCCATTCATATACACCATGTTGCGGAACAAGTTTTGTGAGACTGATAATTGCGTAGTCTAGGTATTAATGACATACAGTCCAATGATATACAGTAAATTGGGGCACAAGCTCGCCAACATCAAAACGGCAAGGATTAATAAGGTGCTAATTGCTTTTGTTCATAGAATTACATTTCGCAAACATCGATATTCAGTAGGCGTTTACGAAAAATCTGTCTTTCCAGTTGCTCCCAAACTCAACTATATTATGCACTATTTCATGCTCTTTCCAATGATATGCTGCAAATTTGGCACAAGCTCAGCAACATCAAAACGGCAAGGATTAGTAAGTTGCTAATTGCTTTTGTTCATAGAATTACACTGCGACAACATCAATATTCACCAGGCGTTTATGCAGAATCTGTTTGCTCAATTGTTCCCGAACTCGACTATATTGTGCAGTTTTTCACGCTCTTTCCAGCGATATACAGTACATTGGGGCACAATCTCGCAAACGTCAAAATTGCAAGGATTAATAAGTGCTAATTACTTTGTTTGCATATAGTAAATGCCAGACTAGAGGAATTTACAATGCGCAAACATCAATATTCAGCAAGCGTTTGCACAAAATCTGTCTACCCAATTGTTCTCAAACTCGACTACATTATGCAGTATTTCATGCTCTTTCCAATGATGTACAGCAAACTGGGGCACAAGCTCACTAACGTCAAAACGGCAAGTGTTAATAAGGTACTAATTGCTTTTGTTCATAGAATTACACTCCGCAAACTTCTATATTCAGCAACCGTTTATGCAAAATCTGTTTTCGCAATTGTTCCTGAACTCGACTACATTGTGCAGTTTTTCACGCTCTTTCCAGCAATGTACAGTACATTGGGACACAAGCTCGCAAACGTCAAAATCGCAAGGATTAATAAGTGCTAATTACTTTTTTTGCATATATTAAATGCCAGACTAGAGAATTTACAATGTGCAAACATCAACAATATTCAGCAAGCATTTGCACAAAATCTGCCTTCCTAATTGTTCCCAAACTCGACTATATTATGCAGTATTTCATGCTCTTTCCAATGATGTACAGCAAACTGGGGCACAAGCTCACTAACGTCAAAACGGCAAGGGTTAATAAGGTACTAATTGCTTTTGTTCATAGAATTACACTCCGCAAACATCTATATCTGATTACCATTTTACTTACCCTCGTTTATGCAGTTAGTTTTCAGCTTATTTGAAAATATCGACTTATAACACGAGATCTCAACTTATAAAGCAAGATCTCAATTTAGAATACGAGATCTGGACTTATAACACAAGATCTTGACTTATAAACATGAGATCTCGACTTATAAACACAAGATCTCGACTTATAACACGAGATCTCGACTTATAACACAAGATCTTGACTTACAACATGAGATCTCGACTTATAACATGAGATCTCGACTTAGTTTACACAAGATCTCGACTTATAACATGAGATCTCGACTTATAACATGAGATCTCGACTTATAACATGAGATCTCGACTTATAACACGAGATCTCGACTTAGTTTACACGAGATCTCGACTTATAACGCGAGATCTCAACTTATAACGCGGTATATCGACTTATAATGCGAGATATCGACTTATAACGCGAGATCTCGACTTATAACGCGAGATCTCGACTTAGAATACGATATCTCGACTTATAAAGCGATATCTTGACCTATAATACGATAAATCGATAAATAGACTTATGAAGTGAGATCTCGACTTAGAATACGAGATCTCGACTTATAACGCGAGATCTCGACTTAGAATATGAGATCTCAACTTATAACGCGAGATCTCGACTTAGAACACAAGATCTCGACTTAGTTTACACGACACATGGCCATATGTGTGCGCTGGCCATTTGTGCAGTGGCGCTTCATAAACATAAAAAAGAATTAAAGATGGCTGACACTCGAACAGAGACAGGAGGAGGAGTACATGAGGTAAGTTATTGACTGATATGAAATAAAATATTACAAGGAGTCAAGGACCTAATGTCACTCTTGTTAACCACAAGAAAGTTGTTACCTTTGCATTTGTGAAGACAAACTTTGAATTATGTATTTTCGTTTCAAGCTTTGGCTGAGAATTGTATGTTTTTGTTTATTGTGCTATAGAAATTGTTTATATCAAATATGTTTATATTGCTTTCAAAATCACTTATTTCTATATTTGAATTCAATTTTATTTTACAGGTGTTGGATTTTTTAAAAGGAAGAGGCATTTCCGAGCCTTTAATCCTGACAAATTTTGAGAATGAAAAGGTATTGAATGATATATTTCTTGTAGCCTGGAATTAGTCAGTTAGGAATATCATTGAAAATATTTTCTTCGGAACTAGTAATTTTGTAATAGCAATGTTCAAAGGCACAATATGGCATTTTATGTATTGTAAAGTTTTTAAATTAATTAAAATGATTATTTTTAATTTATGTATTTGAAATTAAATTATACACAAACATAAAGGTGGCTCAACACAGTTTAACAAAAAAGGTACGCAAGGCGTACGTGTATCAGCGCATAATGCATTGATGTTGAGGGAATTGAATTTTTCATAGCAATTGGGCAAAATTGTGCTATTTTTTGAAATTATATGTGTGCTTCATATAAAGAATATTTACATGCATACAAACTTTACAGGTAGTCAATTTATCCCGGGCGTTCTGTGACCCCCGTCCGCGATCATATCAGATCATGTCAGCGGCTTCTGGTAATTACTAAAATAACATGGCCCGAAGTTTGAAGTTTTATATTCAAAATTCCAAAGAATTTTCTCATTGAAAATCGCTGAATATTTTTCATCTACAACTTTAGAAAGTGGAAATATTTCCAGATGCATGGGCCATCATCATTCGAATATTTACCATCAAAGAACAAATATGACTGGTTTATAATTTATTTTGTCTAAACTGATACATTCCCAATTTCCCATGCACATACAAATTACATCGTCTGAGAAAATCCACAAACTAACCCCTCTGAAATTTGAAATCCTTGACGTGGCTAGAAAAACAGTAAATGCCATACCATCACAATATTTACTAAATGTCAGCAGATCCCTTTATTTATATGTTACGGTATATTCTGTATTCTATATTTAGATTTTCTGCATTTGTATTTTAGCGAGTGCCGGTGGCATGGTTGTCTAGGGCGTTGCATGCATTCTTACATGCTGCCAATTGGTGGTTCGAATCACGCAATGGCAAATATTTTGTTTTTCGTTCTCATATTTTTGTCTTTAATAATTTTCCTAAGACTGCTTTTGCAATACAGGGGAGTTACTATTGTATAACTGTAAATTACTATTATTAAATTGCCCCCTTCTTTCAAAATTCAATAAATTATTTTTTAATAGTCGATGCCATTTTGTAGTTCGCGCCAATTCCATAATTGTGTTAATTAATGCTAAATGTTGAGCCGCTGACATCATCTGACTTATCGAGGTCACAGCAAATGGCCTAGTATTACTTTGATGAAACCAGGGCCGTAGGTAGGCCGCTAATTTGGGGCGGGGGTGTGCATATTCCTATATTCGTATTCTGCCCGACGGATTTCTTTTGAAGGCGATTGTTTTTACGGTATGTGAACATGAATACCCCCTTTCCCCCAATTATCGTGTTTAGCTACGGCCCTGGATAAAGGAGGCCCAGGCAATCCATGCTTTTATATTTGTATATACAGTAATACAGAAAATAATCACTGAATTTTTTGTGGATTGCGTAGGCCGCTCGTGGCCTGTTTTGCTATTTATGTTTTTGAAACAAACAAGCATAAAATGAACAGCTTGCATGTGCAAATGTCAGGTCAGGCTGTATCGCAAAGGCTGACATTTGGGTTAGTTGAATGTTTGCACATGCAAGGAGTACGAGTCTAGTTCTAGGCAATATGTTGAATCTGTTTCCCATTTTTGCGTTTTTTTTGTGGCAAGCCATATATGGCTAGCCACTATGTTACGATAAAAAAGTTGTCCGTTTATCCAGTCACATGACATTTAACCTGCGTAGCAGGCGTTTAGTGCGGGCGGGTGAAGAAAGGGAATAGTGTCATTAGTGTGACTTTCGAGGCATGTGAAGGCATGTGTTGATTACCTGATTGAGTTGTTTTTATCACAATACTGTGGTTTTTATATACTTGATTTGGGCAATTTGTGAGAAGCTGTGTGAAGCAAAATTTACTTGATCTAATTTCCGCATCAAATTTGTCACAGGTATGCAAATACTATATTTTTTATGCTTGAAATGAGGCATTGTTGCTTACACTGATCTTGTATTTGTGTGAAACTAGGTGAAGGCCACATATCAAATCTCGTATCAAAATGTGGCAAGCTTTTGGAATAAAAATTCGAATTTGCATTATGAACATAGAAATAAAATAAAAACTGCGACAGATAAATATTGATATTTATAATTACCAATATCAAATACTTGATTTATAAAATTATAAAAGAGTCAAAGAATGTTCAAGTATATCAAGTGTATTAATAAGAAGTTGATTATTTATGATCCATCTGAATAAAGCCCCAGAAAAGGCTCGTTTTATTCTGAACGAATAGTATTTGTATCTGTTCAGACTATCTCTGGTACCTCTGTGAGCAATTTAATACAATAAATCCTTTTGAACATGCTGACCAATGACACTATAAAGATTGTTTCCATTAATTCTATTCATAATTGATGTATTCGAGATGTTTATAGACTTTATTTCATTGTATAAAATTGTATCGATCGACATTGCAACACATTGTTTAGCAGCTTTACCTCCAAACATTGATGTATTACCTTGATTAAAGTCTGCACAAACTGTAAAAGTAGGAGCATTTGAGAGTCTCAATAATAGTGGTACATTTATAAACATTATAGCAGACATTCTGTGCATACCACATGCACACCTCATTATTGCATGTTTGCATATTTGCATGTTTGCATGGCAATAAAATATACTGCGATTTGCAGTTGAGCTTAGAGACAAGACGTTTTGCCATGCAGTTTGATCGTTTCAATGTACAAGTCATCAAGGGCAAATTCACATGTTGTCAAGTGGAAATGCGAATGTTGTAATGGGAGATTTAGGCACTTTCGGCCAATCATAGTGAAGAATGCGTTGGGGCAAGCCTCCTTCACTATGATTGGCCGAAAGTGTCTAAATCTCCCATGACAACATTTGCATTTCCTCTTGACAACATTTGAATTTGCGCTTGGTAACTTGTACATTTCAACGATCAAACTGTGCGGCAAAACTTCTTGTCTCTAAGCTTTATTACTGCATAATAAATTTACGTGGTGTTTCCACAAACAAAACTATCATATTATCAACTTACCTGCAAGACTGTTTGACAGTTGTACTGTAGTTTGTGTTTGTAATACTATACCTGCACAATGACTAAGTAAGATTGTTAATCCCCAGCACAATGGTAATGGATCTGGTATTTTTACCTGCACAATGGCAAGGTTCAACTTTCATATGTGGCCTTTCGCACAAATACAACGTGATCTAGGATCAGTGTGAGCAACAATGGCCCCTTTTCAAGCGTAAAAAAATACAACAAAATGTTTCACAAAAACAACAAAATAAAATAATATTTGGTTGAAATCAACTAAAGTTTACTAAATAGCTATCTAAACAACAGAAGAGAATAATATTTGGCTGAAATCAATTAAAGTTTACATACCTCTAACAAATTTAAGATTCTATGCTATGTACCATTGTATGTACCATTATGATTGAGACTCTCAAATGATGTTGAGGAAAATCCAGGTTCCATCAATATTAATATGAAATAGTTTATCCTACTTTTACAGTTTGTGTAGACTTTAACCCATTAAGCGCAAGCGCTCTCCCCTTCACAAGTAAAATTATCTAGCGTTAGACAGTGTAAAATAATTTAGCGTTAGACAGAGTAAAATAATAGAGCAGGGTGCATCAGGGCACAATGTATGCAACTCAATGGGTTAATCACGGTAATGCATCGATGTTTGGAAGTAACACTGGTAAATAATGTGTTGCAATGTCGATCCACACGATTTTATACAATGAAATAAAGTCTATAAACATCTGGGATACATCAATTATGAATAGAATTCTAAGTAATAGAAAGAATCTTTATATTGTCATTTAATAGTCAGCATATTCCAAAACAAATTCTTGTTGCTCACACAGGTACCAAAGATGGTCTCAATCGATAGAAATACTTTTCATTTAGAATACATGCAGTGAGTCCTTTTCTGGGGCTTTGTTAACAGATCATAACAATCAACCTCAATGTTACACTTGAACATTATTTTAATCAAGTATTTGATATTGGTAATTATAAATATCAATACTTATCTGCCTCAGTTTTTATTTTATTTTTATGTTCATAATGCGAATTCTAATTTTTATTCCAAATGCTTGCCACATGTACGCAGTGCGTACCTATTTTTCTATTTATGTACAGTTAAACTGAAGGGCAAACAGTTTAATTTCTATTTTTGTCTTTGATTGGTTGTATGAATCATATCCTTTGCCAAGATTTGTTGTTACCTGCAATAGTACAAAGGTTTTGTAATTTGTATTAATCACTTTCTGGAAGGCATAATGGTTCCTTTAGTAGGTTTCTTGTAAATAAAGCTATACACACAGCCTTATCACATAAATGCAAATTTGTGTGTTGATGACGTGATTGAGCACTAAATCTATCTGGCAGCTGGGGAACGTATTCAACAAAAATATTTACACTTAAAAACATGACATGTATAGTGTAGGAACTTTGTAATGATAATTTGAACTGTGACAGACTGACCCTTTTTGATTACTTCAATGTATAGCGGTGCAAATATGTACGGTAACACGTCAAACATACTCCTCTCTTACCTCCCAAAATCTGGGGAGGTACTTCATGAGCTCCAACCAAGATATATAAAGTTAATCAGCATGCTTCTATATTAAGTACAACATAATTATCAACAAGTTCAAGTAAATCTTATATGAATGGTATAAAAGTGATAACATAAATTAATTTTCTTTTGAAATAAATGGATGTTGCAGCCGTATCATCAGCTACACATGAATGTCTTACAGATTTGGGGCTACATGCAAAAGGGGATATTTTTGCTTTGAAAGCATTTTGTCATCATCGTCAATTCACATTTACCAGTAAGAATGTAGTGTATGATGAGAAAAACGATTATGAAGATAGAAAGAGGGAACTCCTGGCACAACTGCAAACAGGAAGCCAAAAGAAAAGGAACGAATCTGTTGACAAACATTCTAGGTCCAGCATGTCTAAGAGACCTGTTGAAAAATATAAGACACGTAAAATATTTCTTGGTTGGCTTCATTATTCTGAAAAAAAAAGAACTGTTTGTAGCAGTGAGACTAAACAGTGGAGGAGGAACCAGAAGATTAGATGTTGGGAGCCATTTCAATAAGGAGATGCTTATTGGAGAAGGCAAGAAATTGTTTTATCCGAGTGGCGAATCTTCTCAAGCTAGGACAAGCTGACGACATGGTTTTTGATCTTGCCAACTTCAAAGGAGAAAGCATCGGCATTCTGAAGATAATAAACAGCCTTTCTCTATACAAAAGTACATTGAAATGAACAAACTGACACAAGTCCGACTCTACTTGACAACTAGGCATATACTGATTGATTCTTTAGACATCGACAATGAGGATAGAGGACTCACAGATGAAGACATTAAAATGAGCACATCAGATAATGAAGAAATCATAATAGAAAGTGGAAGTGAAAACGATGATGAAGTTCTAATGCATCCCGTTTTCGATAGTGGTACAACACCTACTGGTTCTTCAGAAGAAAGGTAAAAACTAATGGAAGAGCAAGACCAGTTATTTCAGGAATCATTAGATAACGATCGTCGTAAGGAAAACAGCATATCAGCAGCCGAGGAAATGGAAGAAAACAAAAAAACCCGTTTAGAACAACTTAGACAAGCGAGACTCGAAAACGTTCCACCAGAATCACATCCACAGCTTCCTCCAGTGGCGGCGCCAGCCTTTTAAAAGTGGGGGGGGGGCGATTTTCGAGCGGTGAAGGCACGAGACACTTCCTGGAGGGGTCCGGGGGCATGCCCCCCCCCGGAAAATTTTTGAAATCCAGAGTCCCTGAAATACGATTTCCTGTATTTTCAGGGTAGGATATTCAGAATTCCGAAGATTATAAAGTAAACAAAACACACAATTTTTTCATGACTACGTATATATAAGACCTACAAATGTAGTATTACATCATAGTCAATAGAATAAGGTTAGGGAACTCCATGCAGACATAGAGTAAAAGAGCTCAATATCTATGAATTTGTCTGGTTTATGCAAGGAACGATCGGTTCATCGTCACATGTCCCAGTCGTAATATTACACAATGGCTAAACAAAAACATAATAACTACTGGTTACTCTAGCGAAAATAAAATACACACATGACGATGCACCGACCATTTTTTTGCATAAACCAAGACGAAACATATATAGGTCTATTATGTTTCTTAACCTTCTTATTCTATTGACTACGATTACATTGACTATGATTACATTGACTGACAGCTGCCTAAAAGAATTACTACTTCCAGGAAAATTGAAGTCAACATAATTTTATATTTAAATACAAATGGAAATAACTGTTAGGTAGAATAATAATGGCTAATCTATGTTATCGTAAATCTGTTTACATGAGAAGCTTATGAGGTTTTGCAAGCTTAAGTATTTTCACTAATTTGCTAAGTTCAATATTGTTGGCTAGATCTTGTCCGTCGCTAATCTGGACAAGGTCCTCGAGTCTATCAGGTGACATAGCAACTCGCAAATTATTGTTTATTATTTTCACCTTGCTGTGTGTGCGCTCACATGATGCCACTGTCACACATTCACAGGCAAGGTAGCGACGGCAAACAAGTCGGGATAAAGGTGGTACTGATCATCTTTGCTGAAAATGTCGAGCAAGGAGGGCAAGCAGATCCAAGGTGGAAGCTTTCTTTTGGACCCTTTCTCTACAGACTCTAGATTCATTCCTTTCCTTCTCTTCACTGATATGATGCTAGTATGCAATCTTCCAGTTGTTACATTGAATATTCCAGCCATATGTACTCTTCGTACCATTTCTTTCGGAATGTAAACTTTCTCACCGATATTTCAGATGTTGAAAAATCTAAGATAGGTCCTATTCTGAGGTTCTATTTGCCTCCCTCGCACACAATTTCACTTGATGGATCTCTTCCTTCAAACATTTTTCTCTTTCAGTTGTGTAGTGATGCGTTCCAAGAAGCTAATGACCATATGTTGCGCGAACGGTGCATTAATTAACATATCTCCCTCACATCTCAGCAGCAGGACCAAATTTCTGCATCACACATTACCCCTTGCACTTAATTTGGGTAATATATTAACCCATTATGGTGGGTTTCCTTTGGTGGTCGTAATCAGTGCCTGCAATATGCTAATGGTAAATACTGCATATATGAAACGTTCTTTTGTCAAAAGTAAAGCGATGATCTTTTAATACTGGTCTTTATTCACACAATAAAGACTAATTTATTAAGTTAAATCTAAATAACTGGACTGATTTCACAAACGTACCCCCCCCCCTTTTTCTCACCAGATTTGGACAAATTAGAAAATTGACTTTGAAGAGAACTGGGGGGAACGTGTCCTCCCCAGTCCTCCCTGTGGCGCTGCCACTGGCTTCCTCGTGTAAGAATAGCCGTGAATCATATATCTTCATGGGCAAGATTGTTCATTCATTTTCAGTCCTAGATAGTATGCAGGCAGTTTATGATTGGGTTGGCTCTTGTGCACTTCATCCCAAGCACTTCAATCTTTCTCAATGCCAAGGACAAATAATTATGCTGAAAATTTTCTCAATTTTCCTAGTCACATTAAATTGTTTAAGTAACACTGTTATATTGGTCAGTAGTTATTTTTCTCATCTCCATTGTTAAGCAGTACTAAAACATTGAAATCTTGGGTAGGAAAGACTAGAAAAATGCTATTTCCGACGGTCTAGAGAATTCAAATTTTCAAATTGAATGGGACTCGCGTCCCAAAATCAGGCAAAAAGCGTTAAGGTGGCTCAATACAATTTTTAAGAAAATGGAAAATTCACGACTTAGATGAGTATTTTTGTACAATTATTACTTGTTGATAAACAAAAAGTACCTTAGCTAGTGTCTTACCTATATAAAACAACATCTAAGGAGTTTGAATTTTTGCACAAAAGTTACGCAACTGCCGTTGCTATGGCAACAATGACGTTTCAAGTTGGCGGATATTTTGGCTTTAAAGTAATTTAATTTGTAAACGACAATTATCGGATTGCACATCCTGATAAGAAACAAACTGAGATCTACCTGAGAGATAGTTGGCGAACCAATCATACTCTCTATCTTTCACACCATATTCCATGAGCTTATGTAGGACAACCTTTTATAGTGTCTTACCTATATTAAACAACATCTAAGGAGTTTGAATTTTTGCACAAAAGTTATGCAACTGCCGTTGCTATGGCAACAATGACGTTTCAAGTTGGCAGATATTTTGGCTTTAAAGTAATTTAATTTGTAAACGACAATTATTCATAATATTTTTTTTTGGTCCACAGAATTTTTTTTAAATTGTCACGATAATTGATTATACTGAGAGAAATAATTTTTTAAAATAAAATACGGGGGTCACCGATGTCATTTACGAGTTAAATTACTTTAAAGCCAAAATATCCACCAGATGTTGTTTTATATTAGTAAGGTACTTTTTGTTTATCAACAAGTAATAATTGTACAAAAATACACTTCTAAATCGTGAATTTTCCATTTTTTTAAAAACTGTATTGAACCACCTTAAATTGGAAAAATTCAGGTAAATCTAACCCCCCCCCCCCCCCAACGCAAAGTCGTCGCAACGGCCCAGGCTGCAACATATACAGGCGTACTGGCCCAGAACACCACTACTGTCTGGCTGTTAAAACCAACACTTACTTAGGTCTTTAATTAAGGTTAATAATAATAATAATGACTTTATTTAAACTGGAGAAAAAAGACCGATCAGCCTATTTACAAGAAATAGCTGGTTTAACCGGTGACCAGCATCGTAAAGGATTTCTATGGTAAAAAAAAACCCACAAATTACTATTTTACACTACATTACTATTTTACACCACATATATGTTCTTTTTTGTCCATATTTAATAAATACTTAAATACTTTAGTTTTAAAGTTTGATAAAGATTGTACTCTACGCAGTTCTTGAGGTAGCTCATTCCAATCTTTAGAAGCAGCACATTTCGTTTTTGTTTTGATAACATGCAATAGTATATTGTCTCTCAAGGATCTACTATGCATTTCAGATCTTCTAACCAAATAACCTTGTAATTGGCGAGGACAGTTAATGTTATACACGAAAATCTAGATTGTTTTAAAATTTTTCCTGAAAGAGTGATTTGTAAGTCCTGTGCGTTCGATATTGCATATCTGGATCCTATTAACATTACTTCTGACTTTTTATGATTGCTAATTAATCCATTGCGACTTAACCAGTCATCAACTTGGGTTAGATCCTCATTTACACAGCATTCTGCAATGCCAATGTCTTTCGAACTAGAATGAATCGCCGTATCGTCAGCATACAAAAAAGTATTACTATTTTCACAAGCATCCGATATTCCATTTATATACACATTGAATAACGTCGGTCCCAGAACTGATCCTTGAGGGACTCCATAGCTTATACTTCTCTTATCGGATTGCACATCCTGATAAGAAACAAACTGAGATCTACCTGAGAGATAGTTGGTGAACCAATCATACTCTCTGTCTTTCACACCATATTCCATAAGCTTATGTAGGAGAACCTTTTATAGTGTCAAACGCTTTCCTAAGGTCCAGAAATGCGCAGACTACTATGCACATGACTCATGGCTAATTTCCATGAGTCAACTACCATGATAAGCGCAAGGTAAGGTCTCACATGTGGAGGGTTAAGTAGGCTAAGTTTTTAGATTACCATCGTAAACTCGATCGCACTTTTGTTGTGCAGTAATAAGAAACAGAGAAAATCAAATTTGGCAAAAATTATTACATTCAATTTTAACTTACACAGTTTGAACATGCCTCCCTTTCGTAAAGGGGGAAATTCGCCTTCTCAAAAAAGGGCATGAATTTTTTTAGTCATGATGGCCATTTCTTAAAGGGGGAAATTCGCCTTCTCAAAAAAGGGCATAATTTTTTTGGTTGTAATGGGTGGTTACTGAAAAGGCGTTTTAAAATTAATTTTAAATGGGGGGGGGGATGAGCAGAAAACTATATAAATAGATATTGAGTTCATGTTCATTATTTTGTTGATAAAAGTTTTTTCGGGTGTTACACAACATTAAGTCTACACCATTTGCTTACACATTAACCTGTCAAATTTTGTTATTTGATAAAAGTTGTTCTTAAATGGGGAGGGGGGAAGGATGAAAAGTTTGGAAAAGAGGGGACATTGGTATAAGGGGGAGATGTTTGGCATACGAACAGCAGGGTTGGAGGATCCAATTATAACCATAAGTGAATGGTTACTGTCCGGTCAATCATAGTCAAATGACCCCCACCACTGAGTTAGAGGAAAACTACAAAGACGTTATAATCTGCCCAAACAATTTATTTATATTTATAATATAGCATTTGTAAACTCCGAACACTATCAATTGGTTAATTAAATTAAGAGCCATGTTGATATAACTCGATATAAATGCAGAAATTTCCCGTCGCTCTTGGATTCAATTGTAAACATTACTTTCTCCTTATTATTTATTTCCTAGTCAATTAAACTATACACTAAAAAGACAGAAGTTAACACGATTTTATTTTAAAAAGCCGCACATGAAGTGATATTATTCATGAATTCACCTTGCAATTTTCCTGAAACACACCATGATGTCGGCTGTGCTCATGAAAATGATACGAGACTGGTAACAAGAATGTCAAAACGCCCGACTGTGGGGAGCTTTCTTGATGTCAAATAAAATAAAATCCCTGACCCAGAAGCAGGGAAATCAGGTCAATTCCCTGTGTATCCCCGCCCTCCCTAGGGTCGGGCATAACCTTGATTGGTGCATAATCCTTGAGTTTTACAAAAATGTCATCTTCAATTTTTAGTCATCTAATAGAATGTGATCTTTAACTTTAATATTTGGAAACCTGCTTTTAGAATTTATAATGTACTGTGTATTTGGAAACCTGTACGTACAGTAAGGGAATAATATAGTGATTGTTTCTTGCAGACAAATGAGATCGAACAGCAGCATCAACTTGTTCAATTCAGCACTGATGATCTTCGTAAAAAATCTGAAATATATCATTGCACCAATCCAACCCGGTACCAGCAAAGTGTTAATGATGCTGTGTTTGAGTTGTGTAAAGGTGATCCAGTTCTTGTCTTAAGCAAAGGGAAATTGTTTGAAGAAGCGAGGAAAAAAGTTGATTCTGCTGGGTATGACTATGTCAAAAAAGTATCCAGATCCAATGTCTATGGTACTGCAAGTCAGCCACATAAATCAAAAAGAAAATATATTGCTGCAGAAATTCGGGCATCATGAATCAAGGAGTTGAGTGACAGCATTTCCAGCCTTAGAGAAGCCATTGAGTTATTAATGAAACAGAAACAACAGTTCAGTAATCCTGAGAAATTTCTACAAGCTGCCGAAATCAACTCAAGCATATTAGAGAAGGGAAAGGAGAAATGGAAACTAGAGAAGGAAATGAAAATGTTGAGCAAAGCTGAATCAAAGTTGAAATCGTCTGCAAAGAAAAAGTGCAAACAACAAAAAAGAAATGAAAAGCAATCTTCTGTCAATGTTTCACCTTCTGGTATTGATATGTATGTAACCAGCTCACCTCCTAGCACTGATGTGCAAAGTAGTGATCCCAATGAAAATGATACAAATTTTTCTGTGTTGGTGTTGTGTACTCAGGTGAATAACATGTTTGCGATGTTACTCTGAGTGCATATCCACACCGTGCGAGCTTGAAAAATATGCCCGGCCACGGTGGGATTCGAACCTATAACCTTTGGATATGCACTCAGAGTAACATCGCAAACATAGAAAATGATACAGATGAACGTCCATGGCCATTACTTAGAGAAGATGCTACTGTTGGTATGACAATAAACACACATATGTCGTCAGTATCACCTCCGAGCACAATTGTTAAAGGGGACTCGGATTTTCAAAAGTCCCCCAAGTAAACATCTTACCTTTGGGGGAACCTGCTAACAGTTACGTTCAAACTGCCTTTCAAAATTTAGGAAGTATGGAAAACAAAATCTTGACTGTTGGGCGCAAGTTAAATGCTGATATGTTTGTGACATGTATCAAAGACATGACTTTGGATGAATATTCTGTTGCTATTAAAAGGCATTGTAATGATTGCCACAAAGTTAGAAGTTGTTCCAAATGTAAACCTGTTCTAGAAGCAATAAACGAAATAGGTGAAAAGGGAATTGTACCACTGTCAACAGTTTACAGGAAGTGCTTTGGATCAGTGTACAAATTTGATAAAGCAGTTCGTCGTATTATTCAGCTTCCTGTCATTTTTTGTTGCTTTGATCAGTTGTTCGCAACAGAATATGTTGATGGACTTGATTTCACAAAACTTGCTAGTTGTGTTGCAAAATATGTTCCACAAAATTGTTTATCTAGTGGAACTGATAAGGGAAATTTAAAGTTATTGTGTGAGTTAGCAAGCTCTGAAAAGGACAGACATCTAATTCGTGTGGCATCATGTCAAGGGAAATCGGGACACAAAGCAAAGCGTTTGGGAGTTTCAAACTTGAATAAAGAGAAGATAATATATGATGCAATGCAGGAGTACCTGGAGATTAAGCAAGCAGTTAATAAGATTGCACAGGCCAAAATTGTGAATATGGAACCAGGCAATGACTCTGATACTATGACTTGTGACAGCAGTGAGGGCCAATCGTGTGTATGGATAACTGATGATGAACGTGAAGAACAAAACATGTCAGATGGACAAAGAAAACAGACGTGATTCCACCTGTTTTACCAAGCCAAGCTGACCTAATATCAATGCTTACTGAACACAAAATGAACTGGCTTTCTTTTGTGAACACTTGAAATTGAATGTTAACAATCTATTGGAAGAAACATTGGAACAACTCCTCAAAAATCTTTCTGATTTTATTTCTTTCAGTAATTTAACAGTAAGAGAGAAAAAAGACGCTGAGCAGTCTTACGAAGCATGTCTTGCCATGAAGGAAGTACCATTTATAGAAAACACCGAAGCACTTACTGAGTCTGAAAGTGACAAAACTCAAAGGAACGACCATTCATTCAGCTACAATGCAGGCCAGGATTCATAAACAGACTGCAATTTTGAAGAAATACAAAAAGAGACTTATAGCTAAGGAAGTTGCCCATCATTGCTTGTTGAAGAGAAAGGTACTAAATCGTGTGTCGAGGACGCTATTGAAATACCCTGATATTGGCAAGGATATAGAGAAGTTTGCACGTGAGAATAGGATTGGCGCAGATTCTTGGAGGAGGACTGGAATATTAATATTTAGCGGAAATGTAAAGTGAGGACCGAAAGTCACATACAAGCACATCAAAGAGCATCTTGAGGAGAAGTATGGTGTCCACTTTGGCTACGGAACTATTGTACAACTCTGTTGTGTTAGAAATCGAAGACAACTTTCTGCAAAACGTTATTTTGGGGTTGCGAAGATCGTATCAAGACGTGCTAGAAAAGGATTTGCCATCAAACTTAATGTGGACGTGCACTGGAGCTGTTCCTTTTATAAGACACTAGATTTTTTACAACTGAAAGACGGCCAAGATAAAGTTCTATTGAATAGAGACGATGCATCCGGGTTTCGACTAGATTCAACATTCACTCACAAGCAGCATAAAGTACTCTCAGAGGCTGGAAACCCGGAACTAATCACTCGGACTGATTTCCTGAATAAATATGCAGCAACACTTCAAACAACTTCATATATGTTTTTAGAAACCGAAACAACTCCAGAGACTTGCATTGGTGTGGTAAAGGCTCACACCATGCACAAAAAGAATCCAGGGCAACATGCTGGTGATTTGGAGATGTTAGCAAATCACGACGAAGCGAAGTATGCACTTTCTGGTTGATGGAGCAATCGACGAGGGTCCGTCACATTTTTAAGTCCAATTTATGTGGACAGAGCGACATTTACGTCATGGAAAGATTTGCACATTAGTTACTTCTCGATTCGCTGGTGGGAGTTACCTGAAAAAAGTTGAGTTGCAAAATGGATGTCTTGCATTGGGACATTCAAATTTATTCATACCGTCTACCATCTACAGTTCCAATTTTCTTAATGGAGAACTAGATAGAAAAATGCTTGTGCAGAATTTGGAAGTGGCCCTCATTGCATACATAAATACAGTTAATGGTGCTCAATGTCGTGGAAAACCCGTACACTTAACAAGAGGCAGCACGGATGAATATTGTAGCAAAGTTCAAGAAAGACTTGACCGGTTAATCATTTTCTTGAGAGGTTCTCAGAAAACGAAGAAAGAACTAAAGGAAGCCTACCCGGAAGACAATGACTATTTCTCGCAAATCTGGCAAGTTCAAAAAGACCATATGGTTGAAAAGTTACCAACAAACTACGTTTTCTTGCTATTACCTTGTTATAAACCTAACTGTTTACACCCAGTATGTACTAAAGGCTTACTCAGAGAACCAGAAACATGGTTTAAAAATGGGCCTCCTTTGTTCTTCATACCTCTTCCGATTCCCGATCCAGCAAGGTCGTCTGGAGGTCCATGCAAGAGTTGCAAAGACGACTGCAATGGACATTATTTACCACCAGAACGTCAATATGAATTCGTCAAGAAACATGGTTCTGAATATTGTACCCAACCTCCTAGCAAAGTACTTAAGGAATTTGCAAAAACCATGAAACATGTTCTGAAGAAGAGATAGAATTGTCTAAGAAATGTTTGCTAAGTGTCTCAGATGTCCAAATGTGGATGAAAAATTTAAATAATGGAAAGCAGAAAAAAAGTAAGTTTTTTTAAATATTTGCTTATAGCATCAGCTTCCTGGTTTTTATTTTTTGATTGAATTAGGCGAATTTTTGACAATTGATTGCTGAAAATTAATAGGGAAAATTATTTGATTGCTTATAGAATAAATAAATAAATACAATCCTCTTTTCTGGTGGAAAAATAAATTAATTGTGTTAATAGTGAATTTCCTACATGCATATTCTTTAATTTTATCAATAAAATAATCATAATAGAAAATAGTTTAATATTACAAAAACACACCTGACAAAAGTGCATCGAAATCGCCAGAGGTCGCCATTCATATACGTAAGCGGATATACAAACAGAATTGCTAATTAACCTAATTTAGTCAAGATGGTGGCCAAAGGGAGTTTAAATTTTATGTCTGATGAAGTTCTTGTGTAAGATATTTACAACAGGCTGAACGAACAATCCTCAAGTTTTAACGGCTGAACGAACAATCCTCAACAGCCGACGCAATTGTATTTTCACGATATTGTAGTGTCGCGCAATTGTCTGGAATTTTGTTTTACACATCGGCATGTTGTTTTAATAAATACATTTTTGACCCTCCTGTCAACAAAACGTCATATTATATAGCAAACGGAAACTGTTAATAATCAATATATATTTAGTATAAAATAATGTTTTGTTCACACGTGGGACACGCAAGTCAGAACTATAATGAATCGGAAAGTTCCACAATACACTGGTTGTGGCTATTGTATATAGTGAGAGGTTTTTTAGTGAGAGATTTTGCGAAATTTGGGTCAAGTTCGTGGCGTCGAATAAAAGCTAAAAGAAAGTAAGAAACTATTGTGTTGAGGATTATCTCGGGGGCAATTCTCAACAAGATTTCACACGAACAATCACAAAATGCGCTTACTTCTAGATATCGTATTACAACACAGCATAACACCCGACTATGCAATCTCAAAATTTCCAGATTCTGTCGCTACTAATACATCAATTAAATATTGCCCGATACAAATAGAAATGAACACAAAACAGTTTATACTTTATAGCTTTAACTATGGTTATACACAGTTAATTTAAGCAGCCAAACCGCTTTTATATCTTATTACCGCCGTCAGTAAGCACACTTTAAGCAGGTTTTAAAAGCTTACTTAGTACCAGACTATGAACTAAAATATAAATATAATCTCCTAACCTTATCGCTGTACATTTCTATTGTGGTGGACGAGCACCGAATTGAAATCTCTAGTGAGACTGGTTCTGGTGATATAGTTGTGGATAGACTTGGTATGAATAGCGGCTAAAAGCTCTTCGATATATCGATCTTGTATTGAAGTATTGATATGCTTTAAAAGATCTGTGTTCACCATTTCTAGACTGGACAGTCTCGTATAACCTTTATATTGTGGGAACTACGGAGTATTTTTACACATGGCAATTTTAATGATTTTATATTGTCGTCGTATGCGGCAAATAGTGCAACTTATCGCTTGGCTTTTCCAGCGCTGCAACTGGTTCTATTACTCCAGTCTTTAACTGATCCTTAATTATCGCGTCATAATCTGCCAACACTTCCGGATCTTTGCGTAATTTCCTTAATAGGTTGTGCATGCAAGCTAAACAGTTTACGTAATTACTGGGCAAGGGTTCATGACCCTGCTTCCATGGCAACTTTACCGAATACTTGCCATCTTTAAAACTTACTTCATTTTCAAACGTTTCATGCACCTCATCATTTACTCTAATACCAATCGAATCTAAATCTCACAGTCTTCTCACTTCACTCTCTAAACTAACACTATCTGTCTCTAGTCTTTGCTGGGAAACGAAATGAACTGAACAATCCTGTCTGCCTCTCCCTTCACATGGTTTAAAGTGCCCCTGTCACAAAATGAGAGTTTACATCATTAGAATCGTCTTGAAAGTCTTGAAACGTAGATTATGAAAATACAAAACAGATTTAAAATTGAGCTTGTTTTCACAGAGTAATAAGCATAGGCGTACGGGCACATTTTGTTCGGGGGGGGGCTGGGCTGAATTTGCCCGAATGACATGACGTCATAGATTTCGTGACGTCATCATAAAATTATATAATCCAAGAAGACTACAAATAAAAAGCTTTCATTTGAAGATTGACGAACGTGATATAAAAAGAAATATGTCGTCCCCTGCAGCCATTTCATTTATAAGCTAAGGTTATCGTCCTTGGTTGTCATGTTACTTTTTACAAAGAAAGTACTGATTTTCGACTGGGATGAATCCGATGATTCCATCACTGGATGACATTTTACTTTTTTACCATTGTGAACCAATCGAGAATGCACCTCTTTATAATCACTGTCGATTTCCTTATTGCATTCCTCGCACCGAACGCGATGTCGGTACTGTCTTTTACGATCGCGAGATGCCATACGTAATGATTGTAAAAAAATCGCGCACTTTTATGTCTATCTAAAAGTCTAAAATTAGTCACATTATGTCATTGTACAGTATTTGTACGGTTACATCAATGTCAATTATAATGTAGTATCTATTTTCAGTGACTGCTGTGTCATAGCCGCGGTGCCGCCCAAGACCAGAGACTGTATTTACGCAACCAATGCTATCAAAGGAGATAAACATTACTGATCCGATTGTTACTACGCACACTTACGATACCACACCTTCGCAAAAATGTGTAGCTATATACTATATAGTTATATAGTTTAATAGTTGTATAGCCTATACATTATGCTAGGTAAACTGATGAATATAGGCATGAATACAGTAGTGACATTTTATTAGTAGCCATACCAATTGTTCCTTCGTTGTTGGGGACATACCTAATATTAGTTTGCAGTGATAACCAATTTGTGCAGCGATAAAAGTAAAATGTGCAGTGATAAAATGTAAAATGTGCAGTGATAAAATTTGCTTTGATAAGTTGTTAATTAACACAAGAAAATGAGACAATGAGCAGAAAAACTGAACTATTCCGGCGAAATATTTTGAATGAGAATGATTTAATTGAAATTGAAATGATGACTGCCAAATTATCGAACGTCCGCATTAATAACATACTTATGGTTCATCAGATGAACAAAGTCTCTCACCAAAGATCTCTTTATGAGTTTGGAAGGAGTCAATGATACTGATAAGATTTTGTAATTACTGTATAATTTTCAGAATTCTATAGAATGTCCCCGCACATTGCAGGAGATGCCCTTTTATAGTGCCTAGATTACAAAATTGTCTGTGGGTGCATGCCCCTGGAACTCCTCTAGAGGTTTGTCACGCCTAAGCCCGTAAGCCGCCTTTCATTTGCCAAGACGAAAATATTTATTTTCTTCAGTCATGTTATTATGAAACTAAGCTGTCACAGATAGTCGTAACTGCAGGTGCTGTCAAGGCCGCCCAGAGGGGTGCAATTTGCCCTGGGACCCCAGTTAAAGGGGGGCCCAAATAAAGAATTGCAGTGAAATGTACATAGATATAACTAACTGTCAACTAGACTTCCAGAATGCAGGATTTGGCCATTTCTGGGACCTCAGATTCAAAATTTTCGGGTGATGCCCCCGGACCAGGGAATCATAGTGTTAGAACATGGAATCACGAGAGCCCCCAAGTCAAAGTTTGTCCTGGGCCCACAAATTTCCCTGAGTGCTGTGCAGTGTATGTTTGTTTTGGCATTTTTGAATATGAATAGTAGCCTGCTTTGCTGTTACACATTATTATAAGGGTGTGTTCAGAAATTTTCAGGGCGTGCTTCTGCTCGACTAAACTTTGCACAAAACTGTGCTGTGATAAAAAATTCTTAAAATTAGGTATGGTTGGGGATTTACGTCTGTGGTATGTGCGTAACGTAAAAATCAAAACCAAATCCGGTTAAGTTAGAGCACTTGACCTTTAAATTAATAAAGGTTAACCTGATGCATGCGATATATGGTATTAATAAATATACACAAACGTAGTGAAACGTTGCCATTACAGATTTCCATTGCATGATTGAACCTTACGCAAAAGTTGAACTTGTTGAAATAATACTTCTGTTCCGCTTTATGGATCAATATATTCGTATAATCACCAGACCGTCGTTGCCCGAATGACAAGACAATTTTTGCCCGAATAGATAAATTCTCAAAAATTTGGGGGGGGCTGCAGCCCCCCCAGCCTCACCCTCCCGTACGCCTATGCGTAATTTAACTGGTAGTTGTCCAAAAAATTTTGCTGTCCGGGAAAATTTTTTGCCCCCCCCCCTCGCCAACATTTTTGGGGAAAATATGGTACCGTGGTAATTTTTTACCCAATGTAGTAATTTTATGCAGCCGGATGTGGTAATTACCCCTGAAAAAACCTGGTCACACTGCGTAAAAATGAAACCAATACACTACAGCATTTACTGTATGCAGAGAATGCCCGGCTGCCGGATAACAAAGTGTTGCACGGCTCGTTAGCCAAAAACAAGCTAAGAAGCCTGGCTTGCGATGTTGTAGCCATGGTTGTAGATCATGGCGGCAAAAGAGTGCGTTTCTTACTCAAAGTTCCGTTATCAATTTTCGTGCGTTCACATGAATATACTGTAAGAAATAAAACGATTGGCAAGGTTGGCTAATTTGGTATATAAAATATTGTAATTTGCTTTACCATACTAAATAAAAACCATGCATAACTGCTACTAATTTACTAAAAAAATACCTTATACAATGCATCCCCCCCCCAAAAAAAACTGCATGCATTTGTCTAGAAATCTAAATGCTCATTGCATTAAATGACAGTAGTGTCATTGAAATAAGGATTCTCAAAGTTTCCTGAGCGCTTTACTGCTTTAATTTGCATCAAACAATGCGTGATGAATTTTTCTATTAATAAAATGCGCATGAAAGTTATTCTCTCAGATTAGATAATTGATATATAAGCATTAATTTTATCATCTTCGGGGTCTATATGTCTAAGCTGCAATAACCTTGTATAACCTATAAACTAATAGGTGGTCAGTGTAGTTTAGAACAATTAGCAATTAAGTAACATACCTGCGAACTCTGTATTGTTCTTCTCGTTTTTCATGCACAGCCTCTTGGAAGTAGGCATCGAAACAAAGTACTTGTCTATCAAATGCCACCCAAGCAGGTGCTTCTGGACCAACTCCTTTTGGGTAAACACTGTGTCCTGGTGGTAATTTCTGGCCAGGTAAGGTTTCACCACCTGTGAATATGGTAATTATAGAACTTACAGTATTTGTTTATGAGGATTGAAATTCAATTTCATCTTCTTACAAATTAGCAAGTGGTTCAATTAAAATGAACTTAAAATAAAATATGATGTAGCATAAAATGATTTAAATTATGTCATGCACGTGGCAATTGTTTCACAGGATGTTTAACTAATTACCACTTGCAACAGACAGAATTTGCTCCTTTTGCCCTAATTTTTGTAAAATTTAAGTAGTTTGTGGAAATTGGTAAAGTGTTCCATGATGTTTTTAATAAAAAGGTTTAGCCTGTTTAGATGTATATATCAGTATGTTAATGGCAACCATATTCATTGATGTCAAAATAGCTTTATAAATACCTGAGGCATCCATAAAATAACTCATTATCAGTGAAATGTCCGCAATTTTGCTGGCCATTGTTTGGCTGTAAAGCGTAGAACAACCACATGCAATATTGAATGTGCTGTTGCATGGCAGTGTTGAAAATGTGCTTTAATTAAATTTGGCTATTCTTTAGGTAATTGGCAGACTTGTGCAAATGACCTGGAAATTTAGAATCACTTTCACCTTGCTAATTAGCTAGAACTTGCATGCAACATAATATAGTAATTAATTGCAACATATACATGTATTATCATTTTAGATCTAAGTGTTGCTCTACCAAGCATTAATTTATGACCTTCTTAATTGCAGGCAGGGCCGTAGCTAGACCGATAATTGGGGGGGGGGGGGGGGGTATACTGGAGTAATGGGGATCATCCATTACCCAACACCAACACCACTTCCCTGTTCTATCAACCCACCAAATTTCCATTAAAGAATTTTCCTTTATAATTATCAATTAAGGAAAACCGGTATACCGATAATATCGGCATAATTTTTTCGGTATACTGATACCAGAAATTTCTCATACCGAACATTCCTAGGGGAGGGGGGGTGTGTGTGCATATTCATATATTTGTGTTCTGCCCGACAGATTTCTTTTGAAAGCGTTTGTTTTTATGGTATGTGAACATGAATATATGAATATACCCTACAATACAATTATACTCAATACAATTATACTCAATGAGCTACAATACAATTATACTCAATGAGCATCAATCTACTGTATAGTTGGATTTTAGATGCTGATAAAAGTAATAATTGTTGTTTAAATAACTTGGGCCACCGCCTGTTTTGTGAACAGTACTTTCAGACTGTTTGTAGATACGGAGACAACGCTGTTACAATTTTCTCAGGACCTATATTCTATAGACTACCTGATTAAAACATCGTGCATGGTGTCTTCAGGTCCAGACACACCGGACGCGTTTGGACAATTTAGTTTTTGAAAGTTAATAAAACAGCCAATGAAAGCAAATTTTAAACGATATGTAGACCAAATAACTGAAAATGTTATAGCGCTTCTAAATATTTGAAAAATTTAAACTAGGATCAAAGTTTAAGATTGTTCAATGAAAATCGAAAAATCGCCGTGTCCGGTGTATGGACACGCTCTATATTGTATCGAAGAGAGCACTTACTACCTGAATAGAGTTTTGTATAACGTGTATCATTTTCAATTATCATATGCATATATGCAAGTATCAAATGTAGTTTCGAACGTAGTCGATATGTGTATTATTTCATATGATACGCTACGCTTATGATTGCATACTCGTATTCATATGCTATGCGTATTTGTTGATACGCTACGTGTATCATACGCGTATTCATATGATACGCTATGCGTATGATACGCGTATGATACGCGTATCATACGCAAAAAAGTGTTAAGATATACGCGAGCGGTACTGTAACTACTACTAATTTACTAAAGAAATACCTTATACAATGCATGCCCCCCCCCCAAAAAAAAATGCACTCGTCTAGAAATCTAAATGCTCATTGCATTAAATGACAGTAGTGTCATTGAAATGAGGATTCTCAAAGTTTCCTGAGGGCTTTGCCCTCTTACACGACAACCTTGCCCCCATTAGCAATTGTGCCCACAGACTCCTGTGCTGCAGCTTGCTTGGTGGTGCCACGCAACCCCTCGCTCATCTTCCCCCCCCCCACCCTCCGAAAAAATATTTGGCATCCCCCTGCAGCAAAAGAAAATCTGAAAATCCATCTATGACTATGGGTGGGGTGAGGGAAAGGTTCAGGAAAAATCTATTGTCCTAAAAACATGAATATAAGAATATTGTACGTATACATGTATAATACTGATTAATAGTCATACCACATTGGATGTGTCAGATGAATATGCATGGCGTATTTAATTTATATAAAACTGTAAAAAAATATTATAAAAATATTACATTGTAAATTCCCTCTCACCCTCAGCGTCGACCTGCAAAAACTTACCTATTCCACTTTTTGCTCCACCAACAAAGCAACGAACATCATTTTTGTAGTCAAACAACTGCGATTTGTGGAACTTTGACTTGCCGAGCTAAATTTTAAAATAGAATTTGACTCGGTGTGAATTTTAGTTTAACATTGTGTTAATGTGTGAATATAGTAATTAAAAATTCCAACCGTGATTTATTATTCATTTTTAAGACAGAATAGATCTCTACGAAGATAAGAATTTACCTTTCTATCGAAAACTTGTCCTGGAAGGAAAGGCAAAGACATTTTTCACTGAGTTGACCAAGAAAACATTGAAACCACTCTGTTTCGACCTTCTTGTTGAATGAAAAGCGTTACTGTATTGCTATGACAACAAATACCGTTGCTAGGCGACGCAACTTTACGATCCTGGATGATCCTGATTGGTCAAAATTTAGCTTAGTCTCACGCGTGGAACGTGCTTGACCCACGCATAGTTCGTGTAATGCGCGTGGATTGTTTCCATGTTTGATGATTTTTTGCAAAGTTTGTTTACAAATTTATGTAGTTTTCGTTGTCAAGAAAGTTTTGCTATGAATGATAAGGTTAGGGAAATATGGTTAATTTTGAGAATCTAAAAATAGGGTCCCGTGTTCAAACTAGCAAAGACGGTGAAATCTTTCAAGGAACGGTGCGGTATAAAGGTGGATTAATTACCCGGGAAGGCAATTGGGTTGGAGTGGAATTGGATAAACCAGGTACCGTACTAGTACTACATACGGTTTACATGGCAGTAAATGGCATTGAAATCAACATTTAAAGCTATCTTTTATTATATAGAAGTCTTATGAAAAACAGTCCTAATTGTCATAATTGCACACAATACCATATGTATAGCTAATAGCTTGAACTGCAACATTTGTCTGTCCTAGTAGTCCTTGCCAACTCAGGTGATCTAGCCTTTTGAGGAATGGAATTAAAGCAAGCACAAGTCTTTCATATGCTGTTATTGACTATTGTAATTAAGTCCTTTATTAAATCCTCCTCTTTAATATGAAGTCCCGCCAAATTTAAGATGAAGAAATCTCTTAGCTCTAATTCACCCTCCACACCAAAAATGTGTTCTTACCTGGAAATTCACATTAGTTTGCCTTTTTTATTTATTTATCTCTGCTAACTTGTGCAATAAGCTGGCCTTTAACCCCCATGCCCTTCACATCCCCTCTCCAATATGCCACTACTCAAGGGTGCCTAAGGGTGCCTGAAATGAGAGCCCCCCAACCTAATAGAAAATTTATGGTATGATGTTTTTCCAGGATACATTGTAAACTTTACATAATTTCTGTTGCTATAGTTGGATACACAAGTGGATTATTCAAAGGCTACAAGTATTTTCAATGCAATGCTAAACGTGGAATTTTTATCAGGCCCAGAAGATTGCATTTGATGGGCAACTGGAGAACAATGTATGTTCAACATTATACTCATATGTACTGTACATTTTGTGTGGCTGCCTAAGAAATGATAACTTTAAATCTTCCAATTTTCCCTTGAATGTAGTTTAATATAAAAAGTCCCCGCCTAAGCTGAAAAGGTGTGAAACCTATATGGTGCATGAAAAGCATCATCCAATGTACAGTAGCATTGATTGATGATATATCCCAGTAATACATGAAAATTATGGAATCCCAAAAAGACCATGATTATATCCCAAATCAGTATTACCACCGTGGCTATGAATTTACGTCTGCCATTTCAGGTCAGGAAATGGATATCGAACTGTCAGTACAAAGTCATATGTTGATGAAACATTGTTTGCCAAAAAACCTGAAGGTATATTTTATTATTGCTACACTTCACCCAGTTGCCCATGAGGGAAAACTTATATGTACTTTATAAATAACATTCCGCAAGTGCAAGTGCTGATCAGGTGGAAGCTATGTGTAATTTCTTCTTCTTCAGAGTCTTCTTTGAGCATGGATCAAAAACAGGCTTCTCTGTATAGTTTGTTATAATAAATACATTTATTTAATCAATTTCAATTTTTGCTTTAATTACCCCATCCCATCAAGTGCCAATGCAGGTGATGCTCTAGCTCCCCATTACAATTAAAATCATCTTCAGTATAATCAAGTAAAATTATTGTAAAGTAAGGTGCATTGGGGTGCAATACAACTTAATGGGTAAAATAATATTCTAAGGTTGCTTGTCACTCAATTTGTAGCTGCTTTGTTGCTTGTTTTAGTGTAATAAATGTTGCATGTTTTATTGTAATAAATGTTGCTGTCGCTTTTGAACTATTTACAGAAATCACAATTGTTGTTCTTTCCTGTCAGAAGCTGTTGTTTCTCGCTCTTTTTTAGATAGCCGATGTCACCTGTCGGTCATTAACCTAACTGGCCTTGGTGGGCCTCTTCATATTCCTGCCAAATTATGTCATCATGATCAAATCTATTTGTCCTGTCATGTCCCTTGATTAAACAATCACACTTAAATCACAATCACACTTTGTACTATATGCCATAGCATTAATCACTTTAGAATCATAGAAATTTCTATGATTCTATAGAGTTTAAAGGTTTTTTATGGTTTACTCTCTGCATTTTACAGAACCACAGAATGCAGAGCCATTGCAATATTATGACAACAAAACGTTTGCTTTTGTTACTCCTGAATACATGAAATCAACTAATAGAGCTTTTTCAGGTATAAATAAACATATCTGCATGAAGTTCAATATGTTAATCAGTTAACCGCTTGTACCTGTATGTAATTTAAAGTTGACATGTGGTTTTGATTTAATTTCTGTAAAGATAGGAACTTTATATTGACAACTCTATCAGTTCTAAACTAGCTGTTCTGCCTACAGGACTACAAAGAGTTTAACTCTACTGTATAACTAGTATTAAATATTATAACTACTTCAATGACAATAGTTGTAATTGTGTAAGCCAAGCAGAATAACTTTCACATGAAGTTGCTGTAGTTCTATACTATACTCACTTAATAACAACCTAGCTCCACTTGAGTCATGTTCCGTCTAAAAGGCCCTTCGTCAAGAATTAGTAGCCACTACCACTAACTACTGTACTAACTCTTGACCACCAACTCTTGACGAAGGGCCTTCGCTCGAAACGTCCAGTTTCTGCTTATTTTTTAAGGTAGTAATATAATTTATTTCATATTGGTACTACCCACACTGGTACAGACAGTTTCCGTCTAAAAGTCATTCTTCATCGTAGTAGCATCTGTAACTAGTATCTATATAAACTTTTGTTATTATTTTCAGCACCACTAACTTTACATTCCCATGTGGACAAGAAAGTAAACTTTCACAAGAAGCACATGGTTGGTCACAATTTATCACCTGCAACCACAAAATCCAACATCTGCAATACTGGTCGAAGCAGCAGATGCTCAGAAAGAATGTTTGTACCAAGCTCTCCTTCAATACCAGATTATCATGTACCTCGCAGAGTTTTTAAACGCATGGTGGAAAGAGACTACTTTGGTACATCTCTTCCAAAACAAAACACTCTATACTAGCTGTGTGAAAACCACTTGTTTTCCACTGCAGACACAACATGCACGCTGTGGCACTGTTAATGAATCGGCAACTTTGGTTAGGCAAACTGTAAGGGCGTGCACACGTAAATTCTGCCGGTATCAAGCGAAATTCCTGATCTCTGCGAAATACCTGACCAAGCGTAAAGGTCCAGACACACCGGACGCGATTCGACAACGCGACGCGATTTTTCGATTTTCACTGACCGATAACTTTGATCCTAGTTTAAATTTTCCAAATATTTAGAAGCGCTATAACATTTTAAGTTATTTGGTCTACATATCTTTCAAAATTTGTTCTCATTGGCTGTTTTATTAACTTTCGAAAACTAAAAAATCGCGTCGCGCTGTCGACTACCTTAACCGGTCAGAAATTTCGCGCTTGCAGGCGCGAAATACATGACGCTTGCTAAATTCTATGTCGGCCAAAACTGTTTTTTAGAGTTTAGATAAAATAATCATGATGTTAATTTCTAAAGCTTCGGATACACGAGCAATATTTTTGCTGCGATGGTTACGCAATGGGTGATATAAACAGCATTGCGCTGCCTTCCCACAAGGTGGCTACACCTGCAATATTTCACCTGCAATATATGTCTTCATAACGCTTTTCATTGGCTGGTCAAGAAACGTGTCATTCATCAACCTTGACCTTCCTTGACCACACCTCCCAATTTTCGGCAATCATTGCCGAAAATCAAATGATTTGAAATTTCGGCAACGATTGCGCGCAGCTTTGCGTTGCCGTCGCAGAGCATGATACACAAGCAATTTCTTTCTCGCGACGGCAATGCAACGATTTTTCCACCATTGCATTGCCATCGCCAGAAAAGTATTGCCCGTGTATCCGTAGCTTAACACTTCGTTAAATATTTCAAATCGACATCGTTAAGTTTCAATCATAAACACTTTAAATTTCAAAGCGAATTGTGTGGTCGTGACCGCGAAATACACGACGTTTGCTAAATACAATCGGTCGAAACGATTTTTAAGTTCTCGAACTCATTGTTGCTGCTTGCTAAATTGAGTGAGAATTGAGAAGGTCAAACGCGAAACGATTTTTGGTGCTTATAGTAATTCATATAGCATAACCCTTGAAACTGGTGTCTATTTTATATCACTAAGTCTAAGAGCGCTTTTCGAGTGACTTTTTCCATATCTGCGATTCAAGCTTTATTATCGCTGAACGCTAACGTTCACAATCAGTGGTATAGTGTCAATTCAGTTGATCAATTGTAGAATTGATGTTTAAAAATTTATGTATAAATAAAATGACTTTGATAAATGATAGATACACGTGTTGTCTGTTGAGCTGCGAAATTTATGAGCCAAAGTCGTTCATGCGCATCGTCTGCGCATGGGCAGATATTTCGCAAGTCAGGAATTTTGCGTCACACCTGCATTATTTCGCTCCGGTGTAGTGTGAACGTAGTCGAAAAGATCTTCAAAAATAATTCATTACGACATAGCAAATCTTAGCTGATTAAAAGTGGTAACGGACTTGAAAGACAAGTAGTACTGAAGCCTTGAGGTGATGGTGACATGATGTTGATAGTTTTTGATATTCCGCTCTGCATTACGTAAATGACTATTAATGGTAACTTTGGTCACACTTCTTCATCTTATGTTGTGATGAACCAGGTCTAAGCTTTTCCTCGTAAATTCATTGGCATGCATGAACAGAATCTCTGCCTGTACAGAATGAATGCTGAAATTGTAGCTTCGGACCTGCACCACTCTAAGAACGCCGTGGGAGGATAATCGTATAGTACATAGCATGCAGACTTATTGCAGTCATATCGCGTATAGAATTGGGGGTTTCTGAGGTGTCATTACCATGTACGATTTTGTACGAGTTCAGTACGCAAAAGTGTTGTAAACGTCTACTGCAATTATGTTAGTTTCGCAAATGTTAGATGGTTTCCTCTTTGGTGAATGTCTAACGATTGTACTATATATTTGTATTCTGACCAAACGGTTGATAAATCATTGGACATTGATATAAATAGTCAGTCTGCAATATCCATAGAAATAATAGACATTATAGATATCTATTGTATAATAATAGATATCTATTATGTCTATGACTATGGCAATATGAACGACGTTTCCCTAGAGGGCCGAGGCACACGTCGCACGACACTTTAAGCCCAGATCAAACGAGGATGAGAGTGCACGAGAGTTAGCAGTCTTAATTAATGCTTTCCCAAGAATATATCATGCATATATTCTATTTAAGTTTAAAAATAGTTGGAACACTCATGCATCAAACCTTTATTTTGTTAATCTCGACTCTTATCATCGTTTGACCGGGGCTTTATATAACATCAAATATCACTTTCTTCAAGCTATATATATTTGACATTTCCAGCTATATTTGACATTTAACAATTATAAAACATTTTCCGTGTTGATATACAGTTATATCAACACGAGTGGAAATTGGGAAAACGAGAAATTGTGTGGTAAAATACATGGTACAGTACTTATATAGTTGTAAGACCATTGCATGGGGCATTAGGTATTAGGAAGAATAGTATTACGGTTATACCGCCATGTTTCGTGCGCCAAGATCAGAAAGAAATATATTCGTGCTCGAAACATGAGGATATTAAGAAGTTCCGAAGAAAAATGTTATCTGAAGAATTCAATATATGAATTAACGAAGATGAGCTTTTGAGACTATAGTCATCCATGAGACAGAGAATAATTTTGTTTTGGACTATATATAGGTGTTCTGTCATACATATATAACGTCGAAAATTTACAGTCACAAAACTCGAGAATTATCGAATTTTCATGCATATATATAGTATGGTATACAGCATTTAATTTTTCTTCGGAACTGTTTCTCTTCCATATTCTCGGTTGACATGACGGCATTACGCTATTAGTAAAAGCCTGCAATGCCACTGAGACCAGTTCATCTGAGATAGTAGAGAGTTTTAGCCCCGTACTGTTTTCGCAGGCTACGTACAGACGAGCAAGTTTTCCTTGACAAGTTATTTGTTCGTGTGTAGGGAAAAAATTGCGGGAAAGTTTTCCTTGACAGGGAGCCTTTATTCAAAAGTCACGCCAGCTTTTCATCAAGGGAAAGTGTTCCTGTGAAGTTGTGTATGCTCATCCACTGTGTATACTCGTCTTAGAGCAGCCATTAAATTTCGTTTATTTTGAAATTCATTTTTGAACTTGAAGTGTGGTATCGTATAAAACAGTTTCTGCTGTTTTCAATGTTGTTGGATGCAGCTTTTAACGGAAATTATCATGAGAAATCATGATACTGTTTAAGTTTAAAAAAAGGTCATCAAGTTTAGATTAGTGTCAGATTAAGATTAGGGTTGGATTAAGATTAGATTAGGGTTAGAGTTGGGGTTAGAGTTGGAGGTTAGATTAAGGTTAGGTTTCCCCTAGATAGATGATTATCATCTATTTGTGCACTTTTGACAATTGATTCTATTTATCCCTGAGACTGTGCTGGTCGCACACCAGGCAAGTAAGTTGGTGGGAACTTGTCAAGGGAAACTTGCTCGCCTGTACGTGAACAATTGATCTGACCTAACGTTGATCTGACCTTACATTTCTACGCAAAATCGCCGAACGACATGCGTATAGTGGGATTTTTACAAGCCTGAGCCTTGTTACAGAGCTTTGTTTAGGGAAGATGTACTTGTGGTTAACGTTGCAGGGTTGGAAGATATGGAAACTGCAGAAGGGCTTTTGAGAGGTGGTTTGACTGAAACCACAGCCGGTGATGGTAGCGATCTACTGATGGATATTACACTACTACTTGGTGTAAGAGGGGTTGAAGGAGTCGTTGGCGTGGTAGGAGCGGAACCTGATGATGTTGAATTTGGAATCATAAGTTTCAAGATAACTTGTTTCGATCCTGATGAAGGTCTTTGTCCCGATTTTGCTGCAGCAGTCATAATTGTTTGTCGTAATTGAGACACTTTGGTATATATAGCAGGTCCAAGATATCCATATTCTTTATCAAATTGTTCAGGTTTATCGTGACTTAGTCGCATTTGTAATATTGTTGTTGGCAATTGTTTCTGTATAGGAGAGAAAATATGTTATATTGTACTTATATGCCTCTTAGTGAGATGCATTAAACAGCATTGTGCACGTTCATTGGACAGATAGTATTTAGCATTGAATTTTACAAATCGTCTAATATCTATCGTCTAGTTTATACTTCATTTTGTACTGCACTTATCTAGCGGCTTACCGAATTTACGTTTCTGATTTTACGTTTGAGTTTAATTACTGTGGTGTTAATATGTTAGGTGAAGTTGTTTATTATGAAGCCCTCTGAATGTGTCCACACGTTTCTGATTTTACGTTTGAGTTTAATTACTGTGGTGTTATGTTAGGTGAAGTTGTTTAATATGAAGCCCTCTGAATGTGTCCACACCGGGCAAGCTGAAAATTTTGTTTGACCACGGTGGGAATCGAACCCGCGACCTTTGCTTCATCGAACTGTCGCAGAACAAAATGCTGGGTTGCTTTCCATAAAAATGTCCTGAAATCACGTTACATGGCCGTTGACCTCGAAAGGGACTAACCTCCTCCGCATCTGGGTGGTCGGAAAAAGTTTGGTGAGTTTTTTCTCAAAACCCATTCGCAGACTAAAACCCATAGAGAGGCCTGCGGAGGAGGCTAGAAAGGGACTTCGTGTCATCTTGTTATTCTGACATGTATAACTATTATAATGTATTATGATGTATAATTGGAACATATTGACAGTTTAAGGATAAAAAATCACTGTATTTGAATTGAAGATGTTTACAAAGGATATTGACCAGAAATGTTTCTATTTCCGTCATATTTTCAAATTAACTTTTTCAGAGGCCCGTTGCGGTCGAAAACCTTTAATATCAAAAGCATACCATGCAGATGCTTGGGACTACGTTGATAATACACCATTGGGAAGAAATTGACAGTTGTTACTTACCATAATTATTGCTTGAAGATGTTCAGCAGCTGATTTTTCTCTCGGATCATTACCACTGAGTGCATATTTAATAAGTTGACCTTCTGTTTTCAAGAACGGAACAACCAACACCTTTAACACCTACACATGTTTAAACATATTTTGTCATCCTTTGCAGGGTTTTTTCGTGGGTCCCTTTCCGCAGAGAAGATTGAGTTTACCTAATCACCTGCATGGGGGGCTGTCCAAGAGTGAAGGCCCCGAAAGCTTCACGATCTTAGCCTTTACATGCTTTTAGAACAGCTCGAAATTGCTTTGTGTTGTGAAACGAATTGCACTTATTGCAGGTAGTAGGTTAGTTGTATCGGGTTTTTTCTTACTTTGTTGGGTTTCCGACGAAAAATTATTTCCAAGTCACAATTTTACTTCAAACTACTAAATTGTGTACTGCACTGAAACTTTTGATGAGATCATTGAGTTTCAAACCAATAAACCTCAATTCAAGATTTAGTCTTGGGGGGCGTTTAAGGGCCATAACTAATTTAAACGAGCCTAAAAAAGCACCTGAGAAACCGGCGTTTAACGACCAAATATGAGAGGGTTGGCATCGAGTCTTAAAATTGAGTTTACATTGTAAGCCTTAGATTTGGCTTGGTTAAAACTAGACAGACAAAGCTAACTGTGGTAGCCACGTTTTAATTGGTAATGAAAGTAATATAAACTTATTACACTGATCTGAAAGGTCAAGTGTCTTAAATCCCTAATTTTCTGTTTTCGTCGAGAAATGGAGTTTGCGTTAGCGCATCGCAGGCTCAGGGTGCAACGATTAATCCAAAATGCCATGATTCAAATGCCATTCGATTCCTCGACTGCTTGATTTAGTTTTCATAGTAACAAGCAGGGCCTTTTTTAACATACAAGCTGGGGGGGCAAATGCCCCCCAGTCCCCCCTTGTGCCCCCCCCCACGAAATCACATTTTGCCCCCCCCCAGGAAAAGTCCCTTTTCCCTAAAATTATAGAAACAAACCAGCGAAGATTAACAAATACATAAACGGAAAGTAAGTTTTAGGCTTTATCCTTTGTCCTTGTTTAACAAAATCGATTTAAATTGTTACTTTTTTCTACCACTAAGTAATGATAAATTATTGTTAATAATTTTTTATTTTTTGGATGCTCAGAATGCAGGAAATAGCATTTCCGGGTTTCAAATTTCAAAAATTTTCTGGGGATTATCCCTCTAATAAGTAATGATAAATTACAGTTAATATTCTTTTTTACTTTTTGTGCATTTTTTCCATCTTTTATTTCAAATACAAGTATAGTTAGCATAAATTTTAGATCAAATTTGGATGCTCAGAATGCAGGAAATGACATTTCCGGGATTCAAATTTCAAAAATTTTCTGGGGGAGTACTCCCCCAGACCACCCCCATTCATGCGTGGTATATTGGCCACACACGTAGCCTTCAGCCATTGCTATCCCCCTCTAATATATTATCTCACAGAAAAGTCCCTTTTGAAAAAATGCCCCCCCACGGGAAAATCCTTAAAAAAGGCCCTGGTAACAAGGTCCGTATTTATGTACGTAGTAGCACACTCATGCCATGCTTGTGGTACATCTTTCTTTATTAGACCATACACTTGTACGCACGCGCACAATTACCAGTTCCAGACCTCCTGAGTCCCTATATCCATCAGAGGCCATGTGCATTTATGGATAACGTTTGTATTTGTGAGTAATACTTGTGTTTCATTGGGCATTACGAAAACATCTCCTGAGGATCACGCCACGCTTTTAGCATTTCACCGTTTCTCTGTAATATTGTACGGGATTTGTACCCCGCGAATTTATACAATAGAATGGAATATAAACAAGGACAAGTTAAAGTTTTGACAGTTTGACTACAAAATATTGTATGCGCAGAGTAGAATTGTATACTCAATGTGTTTGTATCATATGCAATACACATATAGTCATTCGCGCATCCGTAATGTACAGTCAATCGCGCGACATCCGTGATGGGTCCAAAGTTAATAAACCTGCTACTGATCGACTTAAGACGTTTTACCCTCAGACAATACATCTATACAAAACGCGAAAACATTTACTTGCTACTGATAACTACAAGAAACATACATTTTATTGTGTTACTGAAGATTTGTTGCGTCAAACAATAACATTACTTTTAACTTCGATGCGAATTTTAATACAAGTAAGGTATGGTATCATATTTCATAATATAATGAACAATGTAAACTAGCCCTACATTTCGTCGAACATAACTTCGGCCCCTTTGGACATATCTTTTTCGTAATAGTATTAATGGAATCAGAATCCAAAACACTATTTATAGTGTCATTTTCAAGCTTGTGTCTTAATTCAGATTTTCATCTTTTATTTCGGTATTTACAGAATATTTATATTTTTAGCGCGTCCCATAGAACGTACATCAAAACAACGCGCTGTTTAAATCGTAGGGGTCTAAAATTCGACTTAAGATGTTTTACCTTCAAACTGCACTTCCTCGGAAGTTGACTGGTTGGGGTTTTTTCGTGCAACGTCTCTGGAAATGCAATATCTGGATCGCTGAGTTTTTCGAATTTATACGTTTAATATACGGACTCACGGAATGTAAACAATGTTGTCTGCGTTAGCGCATCGCATGCTCAGAGCTAAACCATGTGCATTCGTGGATAACGTTTGTATTTGTGAGTAATACTTGTGTGTTTATTTGGGCATTACGAAAACATCTCCTGAGGATCACGGCACGCTTTTAGCCTTTCACGCTTTGCGTCTGCGGTTCACGATTTGTATTCTTGTCTATTGCACCGTAGCTCGTATGTCGTCATTTTCAGGTCAGTGTGAACGCCTGAGCAGGCGTCTTGTTCAAAGTAAAAACGCTCGTTTATGTCCTGTTACCTACTGTGATTCATTAAAGTGCATACGACATGAAATTTCTTATTTGTTTTGGTGTAAATAGGTAATGGGACAAGTACTGGTGTGAGACATTGTGTAACCTAAATAATATAGGACCAGTATTCAAATTTATTGTTATTTACTTCAACTTCAATAGTATGAACTGCATATACGTGATGAATTATGGCAATAACGATTATAGGAACTGAGGAGGGGTGAATTTGTTAATTGGAAACGATAAGTCGAGAGATAAAGGAGAGAAAAGGAAAGGCAACCCTGTACGCGTTTCGACCTAACAGTCTTCTTCAGCAGGGTTTTTTAAGAGGGGTGCAGGTAGAATTTGCAGAGGAGAATGAAGGAGAGGTTAAGAGTTAGGATAAGCAATGGCACAGTAACAAAAAGGAAAGATGGAAAGATAGTGAGAAATGAAAAAACTACTACATGTTAAAAGAAAAGTTATCCTACCAAATGTCTTGTTATTGCGCGACATTCCAACACCACGCACCTTGCTGTTCATCTTTTGTTTAGTTTGATAAAGCAGAGTAATAATACAGTCCTTTCAAATGTAGCTAACTCAATAGTATAGTGAGTATGAATGATGTGATGGTAGGGGTGGGGTAGGATTTATATCATAGTGTGATCATGTGACTAAAGGTGATTGCATCCTAATATGGTGAAGGGAGCTAATTAGACAGGGATGGGGAGGTATCGCAATAAGAGGTGATTAGTGATGAATAATAAAATAAATAAATAATTAGATAAATAATTACCCCTTTACAGGGTTTATTGTTATAGATTTATGAGTATACATTAACCCCCCAAAAATATGTACATATATAACAAAGCCAAGCAAGGATGATAAATGGAATGATATTATATGTCCAATCGTTATCTATAGTAGGTCTTAATTTGTCACGTGGAGTACTCAAGTTATCCATCATTATATTTACAAAGTATACTATTAAAACATGACAAGTATGTTTCGTGTTACTTGTACAAGGAACCAATGGTTATATGAAAATAAATAGGGACTGGGAATATGTTGGTGCATTATTTAATAGCTGGTCATAACTGAAAAATTCTACATAGGACGCGTATGACGCCTAAGGTATAAAATGCATGTTGACATGCATAGAGGATTTGAATTAGGTATAGGAATTGTAACTATTGCTATTAGCCATCAAAATATATTAGGTACATGCATGTCCAAAAACACAGGCTCTGTTTTAATAGTCCAACTGTATGTAATTAAAAAGGTTGACCAACTATGCAGCGATGACGAGTCTATTCGAGTGGTTTCATATAGATGTTATCGTAGGAAATGCCACAGTCAAGTAATGGTATGAAAAATTGGCTATTGACGTCAATGTTAATCCTTTTCAAGTGCCAACCAGGACGATTAATTCTTTATAGTATGTGGACAACAATGTCTGCTTGATGGTAAGATATCAACAGCTGGTATTATAAGTTGTTGTAAATATGGTTTTCAAAACTCGGTGTTTCTATTGCTTTAATATGACCAAATTATCCAGTATTTCCACGACCAATGACGAAACTCCAAATCTGTGTCTCACCATATCGAACCCGCTGTCATAGTGGTGTTAGTATGGCGTTTAATTTCATTAGTGATAATTATTTGATAGCTTAGAGTGCACTATGCGGTCCTTAATATTATGATTGCGTTTGTAGGAAACCAAAGGGGGTTCTGGCCATAGAAGCTTGAGTGTTGGGTCTTTATCAATGAGATGCCAGTGTTTACGCAAGATAGATCCTATGAGTGGTATTAGTGTTATATGGCACAGAGAACGTTAGTATAGGTTTATTGCTATTAGGTTCATTATTTCGGCTCTGGTTAGTAGCATTACCATCAATGCGAATATTATTATTATCATTCTCCCCAATTAGTAGATTTGACTGAGTATATTGCAGAGCTTTATTATCCCCTAGTAATTAGATTAACACGTAGGTCCTGAAGGTGTTCACTTAATCTGTTACGGTTAGTAATTAATCGTACGTATCTAAGGGCTTGACTATATATGATGCTAGTTTTGCAATTGTTGGGGTGAAAGGACCCGTTATGTAAAAGTAGAGCTTTGTCTGTTGGTTTAATAAAAAGGTCGGACTGCAGTTGGTTAAGGTTATTAATGTAAATACTAGTATCAAGAAAATGGACTTTTTCATGGGAGTACTCAAATTCGAATTTAATAGTGGGATGGAAGTTGTTAATATAATGTAGGAACTCCTTTAATTTATCAATTCCATGTGTCCATACTGCAAAGATGTCATCGATGAATCTTATCCACTCAAGTGGAATCAATCCACCAGGGGCATCCCTTAGCATGTTGTGTTCTAATTGACCCATGAAAAGATTGGCATAGGAGGGCGCCATTGGAGAACCCATAGCAGTACCTTGGGTCTGAAGATAGTATTTATTATCGAATTCAAAATAATTGTTATGAAGTACAAGGGTTAATACTTCCTTTAGAAGGTCTGTGTTTGCCTCGCTATTAAATCTTTGAAGGTATTTGATTGATGTGTCAATGCCTTCATCATGCGGGATGTTAGTGTACAGAGATCTAACATCTATTGTAAGAAGAATAATGTCAGTGGGAAGATTATGGTTAAGTTTAAATATACGTCTAAGGAAATCCGTTGAAACTTTAACAAATGATGGGATATTGCTAACTAAGGGTTTGAGGAAGTGGTCCGCATATTTCGATAATCTGACAGTGGGTCCATCACACCCAGAGATAATAGGTCTAAAAACTACAAACTTACTTTAAAAAAAAAAACAAAAAAAAAACTTACTTGAAACTTACTTTTCCTACAAACGCAATCATAATATTAAGGACCGCATAGTGCACTCTAAGCTATCAAATAATTATCACTAATGAAATTAAACGCCATACTAACACCACTATGACAGCGGGTTCGATATGGTGAGACACAGATTTTGGAGTTTCGTCATTGGTCGTGGAAATACTGGATAATTTGGTCATATTAAAGCAATAGAAACACCGAGTTTTGAAAACCATATTTACAACAACTTATAATACCAGCTGTTGATATCTTACCATCAAGCAGACATTGTTGTCCACATACTATAAAGAATTAATCGTCCTGATTGGCACTTGAAAAGGATTAACATTGACGTCAATAGCCAATTTTTCATACCATTACTTGACTGTGGCATTTCCTACGATAACATCTATATGAAACCACTCGAATAGACTCGTCATCGCTGCATAGTTGGTCAACCTTTTTAATTACATACAGTTGGACTATTAAAACAGAGCCTGATGTTTTTGGACATGCATGCATGTACCTAATATGTTTTGATGGCTAATAGCAATAGTTACAATTCCTATACCTAATTCAAATCCTCTATGCATGTCAACATGCATTTTATACCTTAGGCGTCATACGCGTCCTATGTAGAATTTTTCAGTTATGACCAGCATTAAATAATGCACCAACATATTCTCAGTCCCTATTTATTTTCATATAACCATTGGTTCCTTGTACAAGTAACACGAAACATACTTGTCATGTTTTAATAGTATACTTTGTAAATATAATGATGGATAACTTGAGTACTCCACGTGACAAATTAAGACCTACTATAGATAACGATTGGACATATAATATCATTCCATTTATCATCCTTGTTTGGCTTTGTTATATATGTACATATTTTTGGGGGGGTTAATGTATACTCATAAATCTATAACAATAAACCCTGTAAAGGGGTAATTATTTATCTAATTATTTATTTATTTTATTATTCATCACTAATCACCTCTTATTGCGATACCTCCCCATCCCTGTCTAATTAGCTCCCTTCACCATATTAGGATGCAATCACCTTTAGTCACATGATCACACTATGATATAAATCCTACCCCACCCCTACCATCACATCATTCATACTCACTATACTATTGAGTTAGCTACATTTGAAAGGACTGTATTATTACTCTGCTTTATCAAACTAAACAAAAGATGAACAGCAAGGTGCGTGGTGTTGGAATGTCGCGCAATACCAAGACATTTGGTAGGATAACTTTTCTTTTAACATGTAGTAGTTTTTTCATTTCTCACTATCTTTCCATCTTTCCTTTTTGTTACTGTGCCATTGCTTATCCTAACTCTTAACCTCTCCTTCATTCTCCTCTGCAAATTCTACCTGCACCCCTCTTAAAAAACCCTGATAAAGAAGACTGTTAGGTCGAAACGCGTACAGGGTTGCCTTTCCTTTTCTCTCCTTTATCTCTCGACTTATCGTTTCTAATTAACCAATTCACCCCTCCTCAGTTCCTATAATCGTTATTGCCATAATTCATCACGTATATGCAGTTCATACTATTGAAGTTGAAGTAAATAACAATAAATTTGAATACTGGTCCTATAATTATTTAGGTTACACAATGTCTCACACCAGTACTTGTCCCATTACCTATTTACACCAAAACAAAAATTGCATCGTTCGAAAGAGGAGGACTTCTGCTTTCCAACGATACCAATTTCAATTCCATCCGGAGCTTGGTTAACGATTTACTCGCATAAATTTGCATAAATGATATAAAAAAATGTTGCAATTATGCATAAATGTATTTAGCGGTTCAAATTTCAAATATGTCAAAAAATTTTATAAATATGACACGGTTATGATCTACAAGTACCCGAAGTTTCATGCATGTAGCATAAATAGAAATATTTTTATTGAATTTTTATATAAACTAGGTAGTGGAGTAAAATTTACATTTTGTGCTCACATGAAACAAATACCTTTATCAAAGGTCCTTTTTATTGCTGCAACATGTTATCAATACAAATTTCCAATATTTCTTACTCTCCAAAGATAGTATGGCACCAAAATAAGTCTGTGATACCCACAAAAGAACACTCAAATCATGATTAGCAAAATGTCTTTATTTCTACAATTACTACATACATTCTTAGATAATCATTACACCATTGACTTTAGTTATTAGTGTCATAACCAGCCTCAAAATTTGGTCATGCTATTCAAATTTGAAATAATCACTACTCATTTGTTTAGAAATTGATTGTTTTCACAATCTAGAACATGAAAATATTTGCAAATAGCATGACCAAGTGTTGTTGGGCTGGCATCATCATAATTAGTAGTTATAAAAAAGTAATGTTTTCCAAGGCAGTAATGTTTGCTAAAGCAGTAATGTTTGCCAAAGCACATAATTGGATTATGTGGTGAAAATATTTCCTTTATATTGTACTACAAAAGACCTAAGACTGTAACCAAACTGATATCAGATCACCACGTCATACCCAAATCTGTTGCGATGAATATCTGGACTTCTTCCTGTATAAATTTCAAAGTCGCAATATAAACATTAGGATTGTCTGCAGCAACCAACAGATTTATTCCCCACATAGTAGGTCATCTAGCTTTCACGAACTGCCTAACCCCCAACCTATTTCTTGATTTGACAGTGTGTTTGTCCGCAACAACAATATTCTGTGACGGCTGGTACAGTTGTTGATGCAGTTTATTGCTGTAGTCTTTAGTACAGGATCTACCATATTCACAAACGCCATAAGCGCTTTGTACCTAACCTGAGAAATTATGTCTATTGCCCACAGACCATGATATAAGGTTTTTACACTCCAATAATTTTCAATCTCACTGTCGACCTTTAGCAAACCTGCATATTATACTAAAAGGAAATCAACCTCTCAAGGTTGGTGGACTGCAAGACCCTTTTTTATTAGTATATGGGGATACCTTTTGAGTTATTTGTATGTGGGCATATGTATTGGTATGGCCAGGAAACTATACCTCCTGAAGCATTCCCTTGGTAAAAAAGAGTCCAATGAACTCAAGCTCACAGTTCATTGAGCCGAATGAACTCAAGCTCACAGTTGATCGAAATGGATCCCAGACATGTCAGTGAGGAGCAAAATCTGGGAGAACATTCCTGGGATGCTAGACAGGGAGCTTTCGAAACCTTAGGTCCTAATGGCTGGGCTTCCCTCTACCTCTACTCATCCCCCTACCTTCCCTCTAGGTTGGTGAGTGGGGTTCTCATGACTCATCAGAACTCTACTTCCCTGAGGCTATGAAACAGGAACAGCAGATAGGAACAGGATCAATATATTCATCAGTGCGAATAAAAACTTTTATAGACATGGTGCCACTTAAAATCATAATAAGAGCCAACTAGTAAGATATAAGTATGAATACTTGGCTATTATGTATGTAACAAACAACCAAACATGTGCTCAAGGCTCATTTTACTTCGCCTAGGAATCAGAGATTTTTATGCCTAAAACACCATAAATTTTCGTCAACAATATAAATAAATACCATTTATATTTGTCAATTTCAGTATGAAACGATTATTTCAACACAAAAAAGCGATATGAGGACATATTTGGTCGTACTAGTGAAGCTATACTAAATACAAATAAATTTACAACGCCATGGCAATGGCAAAACATTGAAATAGAAATTGTCTAGAAATGATACAAATACTTGCCTTGAAACTCCAGACACGACTCCCAATGCCAAGTTGAGATACTTGTCTTCATATGAAGACATTCCATCATTACTAGCACTATCAGTTTGCAAAATAAAGCCTTTTGTTTTTCTGCCTAAGTCAATCAAAATCCATATCTAGGGTAAACAAACACTCCGGAAGTGATTCCTGCAGTCTTTTACCAGGAAACTGTAATGCTTACCAAGAATTTGGCGTCCGAAGTTGGCCGAACACTTTCCGATCACGAGAATTGCCATAATAGGCTTAGATTATTTTGCAATTTCCCGAGACTGCTCCGAGCTATAGAATGGAAGATGGCGATTCTTTTGGTATATCTGTTATCATTAATATACGTTGAAAAGAAGCAAAAAGACGAGCATTTGAATCAGGCGGAACATTCAAAATGCAACAGCAAAATTGATAATGTGTCATTTGCATAAATTTCACCGCATTGATCATTTCAAGGTAAGAAATTCGCTTGAAATTGAGCGAGAAACAATAAAATTATACGAATATTTCTGAATATATAGTATCGATCAAGCGGAATTTTTTGGTGGTATTTTCGTATGTCTACTGCAAATACTCGCGAAGTTCTTTAATATTTAATCTTCCCGTCATATACGTCGGAAATTAATATTGGCGGATCGAATTGAGTTAAATTAATGTAGTGCATATAATAGAGTGCGGAAACATTAACATGAAACGGTAATACATTAGATAGCACAAAAGACAATACTATAATTAAAAAATCACAATAAATCAGATGACTTTTCAATATTTCAAATGTCAATGAGGTATACATACCTTCACGATTTGGCTGTAAATTAAAAACTCACGACTGTAAAAACTCGATCTGGAACAAAGAGTGGTATATAAATTGAAATGTATATTGACGTTCTGCTCGAAACTTTTGATAAATACTTTTACACACCTTCCTATCCAGAACACAGCGTCCAACAAACGTCCACAAGAGTTCGAATGCGAAGTGACGTGTTTCTCTCGACCAATCGACTTTAAGCTGATTTGTTGTTGCGTCGTTTTGAATGTTTTCATTGGTTAGTTTACAGATGATTGGCATTTATATGAAATTGAGTCATGTGCCATATATAGATAGACTCATTGCTAATTTTAGGCTAACTGTACATTTGTAAAATAGAGGCTGATCTCAGGTTAATTTTAGGCTGGCGTTTTTCATATATGCATGTACACGCCCGTAAAAGTTGAAATTGCTTTTTATCCTACTTACGAAATAACTAAATGTATAAAAAAGGACAGCATTCAGTTTTATCTATGATTTAATGTACGTTTGTTAAGATTATTTGCACTTATACGAAATTTTAAAAGATTTAAACTTTTCCGTGCGTATACGCTCGTGCGAAAACGCATAACTGGAAAACAGCCCTATTACGATCTTGTCAGGCGCTATTTTTTAATTTGGAAAACGGGAGTAACGAGATGGTACCGGTTTTAAAACCTGGTCTCTAGGCTCTGGGCCTGGTCCGGCACCCGGCAATTCTTAATGATCTTAATTTAAAACTGACACATAACAAGAACAATAAGATGTGACCGTTTTTTTTTAAATCTCCGGAAAGTTTAGAGCAAACTTGCAACTACAAAACAAGCACGTAGTTCTATTAAAGTATACAGTTTAATTTAAGTTTAATTATATGAGAATAAAATATAGAAATGTTCCGTTTCGTTTGCACTTATACTTGCGTTGCAGAGAAAACCAGACTTGAAAGCGAAAAAACCTTTTTTCAACGTAACGAATGGAAAGACCCCTGCAAAAATGAATCAATCTAGAAGTTGCTATCGCAAGTGTAGTTCTAGCCTGCGAACAGGCGTTTATAGCAGACCCCGAGGCACCTGAATAAACACCTGTTCGCAGGCTAGTGTAGTCCTGCCTTGGCTTCATACATGTACATCAAAAGCCAGAAGGGTTTTTTGTACTGCCCATCGTCTCATGAGGGTAACAAGCTTGTATAAATCTATGTGTAAACATACATTTACACAGATTCAGTTTAATTCTTTAATTACACATAAATTCAGTAAAATAATATGATACTGAAATTTGAAATGTAGAGTGGCAAGGTTTTGAATACAGTCTTTTTAAATTAATACTAATGTACTGTAATGTCAATTTCTTTGAAGTAGTAATAGATTTTTTGCAAGTAATATAGTATGTGTGTCTGTGGAAATTATCCGATTGTTTGAAATAATAATTGCATGTCTTTCAAGTAATATTTTAAGTACTAATCCAGTAGGAAGTAAAAATCCATTTGTAATTGTAGGAAGTAATAAATCCATTTATTGGAACCATGCAATGTGCCCATTTCTACAGTAGGAGGTAATAAATCCATTTCTTGGAAGTATAATTTATTTCGAGAAAGTAATCAATGCATTTTTTTGAAGTAATGAGTCCATTTCTTGGAAGTAATAATTCCATGTCTTTCAAGTAACCATCCATTTCTAGGAAGTAATGAAATTAATCCATTCCTTGAAACTAATAATCCAGTTCTTTAAAGTCATAATCAATGTATTTGAAGTAATAATCCATTTTTTCTTTTGGAAGAAATAGTTGGTTAGCATTACCAGAACTCGTACTAAGTATCTCCTTTCAGAGTATTAACAATCTATAAAAAGACAAAAATTATTTGTAACTATGCATAGCTCACCAAAAGATTGACGTAATGTATTGTCTCGTATACGTATATAAATTATTAGTTTACAAAGTACTTTGCAAACTAATAATTTATATAAATTATTAGTTTGCACTTTGCGAAGTACTTTTCAAACTAATAATTTATACTTAGAAAAAGTAAACTTACCTAACTTCGCCTTGCCAATCATCAAAATCTCACACAGACAGAATAGTAGAGTAAATTAATTAAAATACATTAGGTTCAAGTTTTTTTTTAAAAAGGTAATGTGTGATAAATTTCATTGAGTAGAACATGTACAGTAAACAGCTGTACATATACGTGTATGGGATCCACAACTTTAATCTTCGACAATATTCAACCAGACTGGTTTGCACTGTGTGTTCTTTGTGCTAGCTGATCTAACCTGTTTTCCTCTTCAACCCTGAATTGCAAATTCGCTGAAGATCTTAAGCTTGTCAATCTCTCATAAGTCATTGGTTCAATGACACAGGATGATAGTGTTTTTACCCTACTGATAGCAACGTAAGAGACTCCAGCAGTTTTCTCTGACTTACCAATGTCTATCCAAGCTTTTGATAGTGTGAGTCCTTGGCTCTTGTGGATGGTTAGAGCCCAAGCAAGTCTAAGAGGTAATTGCTGTCTCTCATGAAGACCATTTTGTGACTCTGAAGAGATAGTGATTGGACATATTGGAACATACGATGGTTGAGTGTCATCAAATGATGGACCTCTGTAGTTGTCAAACTGAACAATAACAGCAACAGGTAAGTCTGGTGGCCGATGATTTCTTTCAAAGATAAAATCTATGACAGTTCCAGTAGCCCCATTGCAGAGACCAACACTTGACCATAAATTCATGGTTAACATTACTTTAGCACCCTTTGCTAGAAACACCACAGGTTCTAATCCAGACATATCTTCTGCAGGAATTTTCTTGGCAGATGCTGATGAATGGCGAGCATTGATATTAGCGACTGGATGATCAAGTTTATTCAGTTGATCATGATTGTAGTTTGCGACTTGCTCATTGCTGTAGAAGAGTCTGGTAGCGTCTTTAAACTCATCAAGATTTGTAATGGCTGAGGGTTGACGAGTCAAAAGTAATTTCCAATCTTCAATTGTCGACTCACCTTTGCGGAGTCACAACAATAAATCTCTGAAAGTGATTTGTTCAGAACTCATACCTTGTACTCTCTGATTGACAGTTAGTTTAACCACTTGATCAAACATTCTGTAAGTTTGATAACCTTGTTCACCAACATCATTTGACGGTTTTGCATGATAAAGAGGCTTGTCGGCTACAGGTGGTAACTGACCTGGGTCACCAAATAGGATCAAGGACTTTCCTCCAAGCAACTTGTTGTAACATGCTGTTGTTTGTTTACAACGTTTATCTACCCAGCCAAAAGTGACTTGACCAAGCATAGAGTATTCATCAATGATAATATATTCAACACCATTTAAATTTTCCTGCAGTCTGGACAGACTCTGACCTGTTAAATCTTTTCTACCTCGTGATCCAATAGGTAGTTTCAACAATGAGTGAATAGCAATACCTCTTATATTATAAGCAGCCTTGCCAGTTGTAGCAGTAACTGCACATTTGCTCTGCAAAAGATTGCGAATAGCATTGATAAGGTAACTCTTACCAGTACCAGCTACACCAATAACAATGAGACACAATGGTTCTTTGTCAGGTGAAATACTATTAATATGTGTATTAACAATATTGTATGCAAGTCCTTGCATTTCACTAAAACTGTTTGTATTGACAGCTTCATACTCTACGTCATCGACATAATCATCTTTTTTAGTTTTAATCCATGTTGGAATTTCATGAATTTGTTGGTCAGAATACTGAGCTCTATCCTGGTGCCAGTCATATATACACTTGGGTTCTTGTTCTGAGTTTTCAAATGGAGTGTGAAGATCAGATAAGATCATCCACTCCTCTTGGGTATTTCCTTGCTCTTCACAAGGTTCATCCTCTGGTTCTTGTTGACTTTGAATTACAGTTTGTAATTTGTCAACCCAGTCTGGCACATGAGTTTGTGCATAAGGTGTTTGCAAAAACTCTTGCCAATCGTTAGTTAAAATTTGATCGGTAGGTTCTTGGTCACCCCATGCATTGTTTTGGGTTGTGCTCCAAGGTTTGTATCTCAAGAGTTGATACTTGCAATAAAGTGCAAAATTGGTGCCTTTAGGATTAGGAGAGTAAGTAGGAAATATCCTTGGAACAATATTATCTGGTAGTTTTGTCAGCTCATTATTAACAACTTGGTAGGTTGTAGCAAACTGTACAAAGTTCATGTTCATAATACTTTGAGAGTTGTCATATTGTTGACGGTTAGCGTAGACGTCAAGAAGTGAATTATCAGTGCAAGAATCGCCATCCTCAATAGATGCATTGTCACGTACTCGACGTGAACTGTTTAAACTCACTGGAATCACTTTAAATGATGAACTGTGTAGTTTCAGTGACAGCAAATGATGCATTGTCTCTTGGGCTGCATAATCTCTTTCACCTAGACTTTTCATTATCACTTTCTTGATGGCTCTTTGAGGGTCACTATTATTGTCAACATTTTGAACAATAGAATTAAATGCCTGCTTTAGTAAAGGTGACCTTGGTTCACCTTTAGCAGCATATTTAGTGAGATATTCTACACAAGCATAGTGATCAATAACCACTTGAATATCACAATTAGCTCTCCAGCTTTGTAGCTGGAGTTGTTGATGATTGTTCAACCTTGAATCATTTCTTCTAGTAACAATCTTTGCTCTATATTGTATGTTGTCACCTTTATTGTGAATTTCTTCAAACTCTAATTTTGTCTGAGGGCAAAGGTCAAATGGAAAATGAAATCTACATTTCATTTCGGATTCATTCGATTTTTTCCTTAGACAATAATTTGTGCTACAATGAGTGTGTCGTTGAACCATATTCAAAAGATCCACATAATCAGATTCCTTTTCAAATGCAGGGATGTCATTATAACGTTTCTGACATGGGTGAACTTGTGGTCTTATCCACATGTCCTTCTCTGGTGGATTTGGATTGACAGTTGACAACAACCAATCAACATACTGACATGCTGTGTCAGCAGCTCTCTTACCAGCTTCAATATCCTGGTCTAGTTCTGTTGTATCCAGACAATCATTCTTGTCCTTAAATTTCTGAGCTAAGAATCCTTTTAGAGCAGTCTGAGTAAGTTGACACAAACCTGGGTCATTCTTTAGTTTAGCAGTACCATGACAATGAATACTTCCTCTACCTTGATATTCATATCTAAACCAGTGCCATTTTGCACCAAGAGTATCATAAAGCCAGTGTTTAATGAAGCTTTCTAATCTCTGTGTGAAAAACCAATCAACTATATGTGGATTGTTAATAACGTTTTGTCGTCTTATCTGAGCACTAGCGGTATTATCAGTATTTTCTCCAAACAGAGCATGTAATTCTGGCCAGTGCATATCTGCTGATGAAAAAGTAAAGAATATTGTTGGTGCTCCAACATTGGTTATGATAGCTTTTAGTTCCTCTCTCACCTTGTTCCAGTAAGCATTTGTACCTGCAATATTGCCAACATATCTAGATACTTTAGACATGAATACATCTGCATTGTTACTTGCTGCCATTGCACGAAGTTCATCAATAGTGAGATGTGCCTCACCTGGATTTTGTTTTAGGAATATTCCACTCTGTTGTAAAATACGTTTTCTCTGAATCATGTTAAAAGCCCAGTAGGAAAATCTAGGGTGGTTAGCAAAACGGTACACCCACTTATCATTAATATATTCAGCAAATTTTAAAAGGTGTTTAACTCTTTCTTGAAGAGCAACATCCCTCAACAGACCTTGATTAGTTGGATCGCCCTTTCCATCAGGGAATAATGTTGGAAAAGCCATAGTGGCCAGATGTGATATCTGATATTCATTCAATGGTTCACTTTCAATAGTGGGCCATGGCATTGGTTTATTTGCAGAAAGCTGATTCCTAACTGCTTCTATTTCTCGTTCTTGCTGGTCACCAACGGGCAAGAAACTATTCATATCTGTAGAGTCATTATAAACTATATCTTCAGAAAGGTTATCAGTGGGTGGGCCCAAATCTGGCATGACATCATCATTTGAGATTATTTCATTTTCAGTCTCAACTGTCATGAGATCTGCTGGAATGCCATTTTCAGGCAAAGAGTTTAATGCATCTTCATTAATTTCTAACTCAGAATAATGAGGGTTATTTTGCAATAGCCATAATAAGGCATTGTGTACTTTTTCTCTTCTCACAGTAACATCTCTAAAAGTATTATCTCTACCTTTCACCTTAACAATAATCACAGACAATTCTTTCGGATATCTTGGCAAGGATGTTGCAAGTACTTTTATGTTTTGTGGCAAGTTAACACAATGGCCTGAGTAACCTTGTTGTCCACCTGGTTTAATATAAACTCTCATGATAGGCAGAGCTCGAGCAATCAACATTTCCTCAATCTGAGTACAATTTTGTAACTCGTGTGGGACAGGTGAAGGAATCATTGAGTTTTCAAAACTAAACTTTTTAGGAGATTTTGTGTCTCTGGAACATCGTAAACATACATAACTATCGTGTGATTTTGGTTTAGATCTTAATGGCCATGCCTCTTTACATATTGTGCATTGACTGATAAAGAATTCAATAGATTTGTTAAATTTATTAATGTTAGACTTTGCCCAACTCTGTTCTTGAATACTGCCATTTAATATGTCAAATTTGTTTAAATAATCTCCCTGATTTGAACTAGAAGATCTACGTTTTCTCTTGTATTCATTAGCACTAGCAAGACGAGTTTGCTTTTCAATCACAGTTTCTTGTGCTCGTTTCTTATTTCGATATTTTTTATCATTTTCAATTCTAGTTTGCCTTTCAGTTTGACTTTCAACAGCTTGTTTTGCTTTTTTATAGTCTCTCATATTTTCAAGTCTAGTTTGTTTTTCAGTTTCATTTTCTACTGCTCGTTTCATTTTCCTATACTTTCTGTCACTTTCCAGTGTCACATGTTTCTTTCCACTTTGGCTCGATGTAGGTGCATCTATTTGTGTTATATTGAAATTTGTTTCCTGAACAGCTAGTCCTTTCACTTCAAAAGGTGTTTCATTGCCTCGAGGTATAGTACTCTGGAAATAAATTACCAGGTCTTCTATACTTTCAACAGATGCTAATATGCATTTGCCTAAAGGGTGTGGCATGCCATATAAATCTCTTGAATGAGAATCAAATATTTTAAAGGTTCCGTCAGAAGTCTTAAAAATTGCAACAGTATTGTAATTAATAGTCAACAGGCAATATTGAAAGTTTAATTGAGTCACTCCAAACAGATTATTGAAAGCATTCTCCAAAGAATAATAAGGTAGATTGGTAGTTGTCATGAATATGTCACCTGCAAATGGGTCACCAAATTGTAAATGATAGATGTGATCAAAAACTGAGACCATTTCTGGCACATCAGTTAAAAGTAAATAGCTTTTCTTAACAGAATTGCTTATAAAAGAATAAAGGTTATTTCCAGTACACAATATATCATTCAATAATTCGGAATCCCATCCATTAACATTTGTAATATGATCATATATTATTGCAGTCAAGGACATGGCTAAACATTGTTTACCAGCATTTTGTCGAAATTTTTTGGCATTGCCTTGGCTAAAATCAGCACAGATTGTTTTAGTTGGGTCAACCACATCATATATTGTCGGCCCAGGGTTTTCTTCAACATCATTTGCCATTCTCAACAACAGTGGAATATACACAATGTAACCTGTTATTTGAGTGAATGACTCTATCACTTGGGTAAAACGTCCCACATATATGTTCAAATAACATATTCGAACAGACATTGCTAATACAATAATAGTCATAACCAACTGAAATAACATCAATATTATGTGACGAACGTCGCCGAGCACAAAACTCAAGTACTTGTTTATTCGTATACAATTGTGTGCTCCAATTCGGGCACGATGTTGCTCAATTGTTATTCCCATTATAGTATACCAATGCTATTAATATTTTAAACAAACAAACGAACGATCTTACCTCTATAAGATGTTGTATGTACGTTGCACGACCAGTACGGCTTCTATGAATTACGTGACTGTCAAATGTCAACAACAACAGGTTTATATATAAATTTGTCAACAGCCACAAATTTATATCTCTTTGAATTTGTTCGAGGTATGGATTGTTCGCACAAATTAAAGTGCTGTTTATGTTTTTAGCAAGCAACAATGACTTGGCTTGGTCTAATATAAACGAACACAATGCTTCGTTTGATTTTATTTCACAATTTGAGAGGAACACAGTGGATCCTGCAGTGGGAATTATCGATAAACAACTCCCACTTGTATGTACCTGAAAGTCAAAGGAAACAAAAATCAATATTTTAACACGAAAAATCCCGGTTACACGACGCCAAAAACGCAGCAAAATAAAATATTCATCTCACCTTGATATATATTCCAAGATACACGATGTATCTGTCTGAACAGCCAGATAAATTACTGAAAATAAACGTTGTCCGCGATATTTAATAGCAAAACGAGGATCATGTACACTTTTGCGTCACGAGTGGTTCTGAGTCATATCATGCATGGTCATATATAATTCCATACCCCATTTTCATATTCGAGACATCGTCGGACAATTAGATCGCTTCAGTTGTTTTCCGTCGCTCAATCTGGAGTATCTAATTTCAACTTTCCTCCTACGTCACAAAACGTCATAAATTGACCGACATACCGACATCCTAAAATTTTGCTCGAGTCAAGAAAATGAGAGCTGCCTCGCTTCGCTCGGCAGCAATAATACCTATTAGGATACCTATTAGGTATAATCTATATATATCAAAACTGCTTTTCAAATTGAGTGCTTGCGGCGCGCGACAAATGACAAAGGAATGGGGCGAGCTTAATGCAAATTGACATTTGGAAGCATTATTGGTGCATTCTACACGCCGTTTTGGGCTGCCTATGGTATAATATATATCTAATCATATTTTACAACTGTAGCACTGAGTTCAAAATGTAAACAAAGCGTTTGTTTACATTACGGACTTTACATGGTCTTTAAATATGCATTTTATCAATGTTGTCTTCACCAAAGCACATATTTTATAGAACGACAAAAGAAAACATCGTACAGCAGTATATGTACTAATAGTTACTGAAGAATGCGATGACTGGCACGAAGGCAAATGTGGTAAGAAATTTGTCAGTACTTAATGAAAACGTTAAAAGTTAATCGGGATTTTATTCAATCATCATTTTAGTATTTTTATTATAACATATAACTATATATTCAACAATCGATATGCAGTACTTCCTCATAATTTCTACTGTACTGTGCAGTTACAGTACCTTGCATGAGACCTTTTCTTTTGTAAGAGTCCTGTTCTATATTACCTGTTTGGATCTTCCGTGTATTTATAACATATTGTGCAAATGAATTTGATCCAAATAAATTTGTTAAAAGTAAAATATTTAACCATTTTCACTGGCTGCAAACCGTTCATTTTTTACAATTCGTTTATTTGTTGTGCATTGGACGTTATTTATAGTGGTTAATTTTGGACGTGATGGACGTTATTCATGTTGGTTAATAATTTCATGACATGCACAGCCCTGCACATGCAAACATTTAACAATATAACATACTGTAGTTCTGAAATACATGTTTTAGGGAGAGTTCGAAAATGGTTTCCTGTCGATTCGGCATCCGAACTGTTGAGGGAATGTAAGCCATTTCAGGCCTGTTACCTAGATAAAGCTGTAACGACGAGGTGACAGGTAGGTTTTCTCGTGTTTCGGCTTGGATTTTTTTTAATACCTTATCCAATTTGCAGTGCTTTAATTACAGTGCCGTGCAATTACACTGTGTGAAGAACACTTTAAGGAATTTCTCGTTCTATAGAGACCTTTTTGCACGAAATGAAATAACGCATTCGCAGTAAAGATAAATTAGGCTTCGCGAGAAACATTTTCGCTTCGTCAGTGAGTGGAAGTCAGTTCTATACTCACTGCGAAAGCGAAGAAAGTGCATGGGAAAATTCGATAGAATCTCCTACGTGTATGTGCAACCATCCATGCCAGAATCATTTATTATAAAGAAGATACTCAATTTCTCGTGAAGAATTTCGTTTTCGTGAAAGACTGCATTCCCTGGAATATTTCTCAATTTCACGTTAATTACCACAACAAGTACAGTACACATTGAATAACACACAAAGCTATAGATGCTGTCCTTTTATTCATTTAGTTATTTCATAAGTAACATGGAAATAGATGTGAACGTTTCCTCGCGTGTACAGCTAAGGCCAAAAAAATATGTGGGTTTCCTATTTCTTCTTGTAAAAACTTAGGTAGGGTAGGTCGGTTTTAACTTTTTTTAAAACTTTTTTTTTAATTTTCCTAACAACAGGACGCCATTTTGTTTAGTCAACCGGACGCCATTTTGTTTAGTCACAAACGTTTTCCTTTCCTAAGTGGAAACACTTACAAGCATGATCCAATAAAAAAGTTTAGGGTCGGGATTTCGGCGTCCAAAAGCTAGGTAGGGTCGGGAAACCGGAAACCCACGCATTTTTTTTCCTAATTCAGTTAAGGTTGTCCTTCAAAGTCAAAAGTCAAAACCACAAAACCTCGACCTCCAAGCGCGTAAAGCTCGTTGGACTCATTGAAATGAATATAACTGGAAGGCTACCTCCAACCGGAAATTTGAAGCCAAACTTGAAGGCCAGTCCCAGTCTTTTCACGCATGCGAAGAGCGCCCAATCAGTCAATCATGATATAAACACGCGGTTCTTGTCCACTAGAAACGCGTGTCTGTTCAGGATTTGGCTTCAAGACCTTACGATGTGGGACGGCAACGTGACGACGACGGCTATTCATACAATGAGATTCATAATATTTAAGAAAAAAATGAATAATTATCCTACAGGAGTTTGAGACATCATCCATGGTCTGTTTACAACGGGAAACTACAGACTTTTACGTCTTGGATACAACGCCTGTATTTCAAGACGCGAGAAGTGATACTCAGCAAATTAGCTCAGTACTACAGTGGAACTTTCTCAACAATAAAGCCACTATTTCAAGCTAACCAAACAGTTTTATTAATTTCAATGGGTGGAGATGCATATGTTATAATTAAGTAATTAGTAGTCCGACACTCCGTAGTTACGGATGGTACGTCCCACGAGCCGTTTTGGTATCGGCGTAAAAAAGCGAATTCCGTGCTTTTCACCTATTTCGGATTTTATTTGCTCGTCTAACCCGTACAATAGCAAGTCCGGCAGAATTAATTGGATTTTTAAACTTTCTAACGTTATAAAGAAAGTTGTTTGTGGGAGATGCTTCACTACTTTGGGAATTAAATCCACTTGATTAGCATAAATGTGCTAACATGCATGCATGCACAAACAATCTTATAATGATAAACACGCCCATTTTTCGCGCTTAGAGGTCGAGTTTTTGTGGTTTTCAAAGGGCAACCCTAATTGAATTAGCTGTATACGTACTGCAGTATGTATGAAACCGCTTAACTGAAATGCATGGCCTTTAAGATTCTCCAAATTCAGTAAAGTTCTCGTCAGCCTGAAAGATACTAAAGTGGGATTTCCATATTTCAAGGGCCTCTCGCCTGAAATTTACAATCGAACAGGCATGTGGTATAGACTGAATCCCCATCCCCTATGTTACATGCCACACACCCTTCCTCTGAAAAGTCAGAACCATATAGGCACTGCAATATATCTCCAAATATTGATTTGACGTGTATGTCTAACAAGTGGCAGGTCAGTTTGTTCTTCCCCGTTTTTTGGAAAGGATTGCGGAATGCGGAAATTATTACCCAATTAGTTTTTAGTGTGTAGTTTCTTCGAAACTTCACAATATTGTGATGAGTGGCGAAAAATTCACATGTATCAGTCATTCATTCAGTCATAGAGTAAACTTTCCGGGGGGTGTATACGATTTATGTTTGTAGTGATTTATTGTACTTAGGCCCGGTTTAGACGGCGAACTTTTCATGCGCCGAATCTAATGCAAGGATTAAGTGCGACGTTGGAGCGGCGTCTAAATCAATTAAGTTCGGCAGGTTTTGATTAAGTTCGACACGACTCGAAGATGCGACAGGACAAGTCGTATATGCGACACAGGTTCGACATTGATTTAGACGCCGTGCTTTTCATGCGCCGAACCTAATGCATAATTATTTTTTAACATCATAATATGATTATCATATATTTGCATTGTAAATATTTCCAATATAATGTCTTCGCAATTTGGTACGGTGCAATTAAGTTCGACGTCTAAATCAGTTTCCCATATTTTGCCGTATCTACGACAATTAGATTCGGCGCATGAGAAGTTCGCCGTCTAAACCGGGCCTAGTCAGTGCTTTGAAGCAATTTAGGCAATTTCAGTTGTCTTATTTAAATATTCTTTTATCCTTTTGCCAAGTTCACAAAAATTTCGAGGAATCGTTTCGTTATTTTCATTTTTTGCAAATTTTATAACATTCGCTTCTCATGTTGTGTAAAGGATCTTTACCCCGGAACACCCGGCGCCCAATTAAGTGCCAGAATATTAAGTGCCAGATATTATTTAGACCGTGTATTCATTATACAATGACTGTATAAGGTGCTACACCACAGAATAGATGGCTACACTCAGCACAAAGAGCGAAAAATTGCGGCATGTAGTAAAACACTGACTACCGGAACACCGGAACACCACCGGAACACCGGAACACCACCATTTTGTTTGGGGTTAGGGGTTGGGGTTAGGGTTAGGATTGGGGGTTAGGGTTGGGGTTAGGGTTAGGATTGGGGGTTAGGGTTGGGGTTAGGGTTAGGTGGTGTTCCGGTGGTGTTCCGGCGGTGTTCCGGTAGTCAGTGTTTTACTACATGCCAAAAATTGCATCGGACAATATTAAAAGCGTAAACAACTATTAAACAGAAGCGGGTGTTTGTATGGCGTTTACGAAGAAAATAACTTGCGATCTAGTCTCTAGACTAAAGAAATCAGTTGAGTCAGAGCTTTTTATTTATACAAGAAAGACGAGGAGATAGCCAACGTGCCAACAAGCTTTATGCAATAGAAGAAAAAGGCAAGGAGGTAGCCAACGTGTACCGTCACAGTTTACTGTCTATATAGCACAACGTCAACGGTGCAAACTCGTGTTCAGTGCAACGATAACGCTACCAGATCTTACGAGAATCAATCTGTTCACAGAGCCGTATCAAAGCTTGTTAAAACTGCTATAAACACTGCTATAACTGTGAAACTATTGAAATCTAAGGTGTCATTATTGAATACATGCGAAAAGCTGAAAATGACTCATGAAACGCAATGTGACATTGCCATTGGGAATAAGTCAAAGGTCAATCAGACTTGTTATTGTGAAACATGTCACAATTAGGTTAAAATGCGGAAGCGGATGGAGCGGATCCACGGAACGGATATGGGGATAAAATATAGAACGGATGGGGATAAAATGCGTTCTTTTAACGATGCAACGTAGTGCTTATTATTCATAACATATCTTATACAGCTATTTGGATGATGAGAATAATCGTATCAAATAAGTTCAGCGTATCAGTAGCCTCGCGAAGATGCTTTTAGCGACAGCTGCAAATGCAAATAAAGTTTTAGAATATGCAAAATTTGGGTGTTGGTGAAACAATTTAAATTTCGAGTTGTCGCATGTAGCATCACAATAAATAAATATATTGTATCAGTTCCACGAGGCACGTTTCTGATCTGTTAGGCTTGTTTCAAACGTCGCGCTACTCATGTGCCGAACGCATTATAAAATAGATGAGATGAAATGCCTTTCGTAACTGTTTATTTCGTAGTGTAAGCCATCAGCTTTTCTAGGTTGTCGGCAACCCTATATAGTTCTTGCAGTGTCTTTTTCAATTTGAAACTTCACACTATCCTTGGATCCCTAGTTAATTTTTACGTTTTGTCTTTAAATTGTAGTTACCTTTTAAATCCGGATTATAGTCATCCTTCATACACTAAAGTTCACTTTTAGTTAACTGCTTTTTATGCAACCCGTCGCTGCCCGTAAATAATTTTCACGTTTTTGAAATATCGTAAATTTGTGTTTTCCAACAGCTCTGGAATTTGTCTCGAAGATTCTTTGTGACAAGGAAAAACGTAATGTGTGTACAAGAGGCTCATACAGTTGTGGAAAGATTTAGTTTTGTGCAAAACGACTGATTATACGTGTATAAACGAGCTATCCGAAGTTTTCCAGGTGTGCTATATGCTTTTTGTCTCTTTATCATGAAATGCATATTTTTTATTTATTGTATGCTGCATAGCTAAAATATAATATTTAATAAAAGAGTATATGTTTTGTCAAGATCATTTACAAGATGTAAAGTGTATAATTATTATAAAGATTAGGTCAAGCCCGTTCGGCGGATGTGCGGTTTGTTTACATATGATGTAGGCTACTTATATATAGTTAATACCTAACATTGGTCTGGTTCGCTATGCTTTTAAATGAATATGATTAGAGTTTCAATTTAGAAAATGTCGAAATAACGCTAATTTTGGATGTTGTTTACACCAGAGAACACCGTGGAAAAACGTCTGCGCATGCGCGTGTTCTAGAAAAAATGGCGAGGAATTTAAATGCCAAATTGTAAACAAAAACATGGCTATTTAATTATTTAAGGAAAAATACACCAGACGGGTAGTTTAGACATTAATATCTAAAAAGAAACAGAATTTAAATTAAAAATTACGCTTTAGAACGTGTCAACATTTCTTGAAAAATTGTCGAATATAGTCAACGCAAAAATTATACATGCTGCGCAAAAAACGTTATTGAGAAAAATGTGGATCATATGAACCTACGAAAAATATCTTTGTATGGTCCAGTTAAAGAACGTTTTATACAATAAATTTATCGACAGTCACCTTTCGTTCATTTTATAGCATATTACTATTTCCCGCGCATGTAGACTGTAATTATTTCTAGTTTTTAGGTTGTCACAGTCATTATTCCGCCGCTTGCATTTTCACAGAAAAGGCAAAACATCGAAGTTGCTCCTTGTCGCTTCCATTTTGAGTTTTTGAACCTTCGGAATACTTGACACCACGTTCGCAAGGCAAATTTCAGTAAGGCTGACGCATGCGCAGACGTTTTTCCACGGTGTTACACAAGAGGGTCCTCACACAGCACATGCGCAGAACAAACTTGACCGCATCTTAAAGTGTCTTTTTCTGTATATGTAAATAGGAATTTTGAAAGTAAATAAATGTCGTTTCATAAATTTTGTTCTTTAATCACACATTTTGCTGACTATAAACAATTATTGGACGAGGTTAAGCACAAATGTACGAAAGCACATGTAAAGGACAAATATATAAACCAATCACAATGGAGATTCGAGCACTATTTACCAGGGTCATCTATTTTCTCGCGCGCCATTACGAAGATGATCCTGGGGACGACAGGGTTCTTACAAAACTCGAAAGTCCTTGAATGTCCTTGAATTTGAAAAAAAAAATTCAAGGCCTTGAATGTCCTTGAATTTGTAAAGAATTGCTTGAATGTCCTTGAATTCTTCTTGCTTTAGTTTTTGGATATTTTCTGAAATTGTTTGACATTCAAGACGGTCATTTTGTTGAACTGATTTTGCATGTTCATATCTGACCTCATTATAAAGTTACGTTTTGAACAATTCAACGTCAGATTTTGCTCATTTCTAACGCCTTCTTCAGTATTTAGTCCTTGAATTTGCTGACACATGGCCTTGAATGTCCTTGAAAAGTCCTTGAATTTGACTCTTCCTGACATGTACGAACCCTGGGACGAGGTTGTTGAAGTGGATAGCGGGAAAGAAACAGGATATACTTTTAAAAACAATCCGTTTTCTTTTCTAAACCCATTAAAGTAACTACATGCAGGCGACCGTTAGGTGTTAGGGTTATAACTCGTTATTATAGTTATGCAACCAGGAACAGCTAAATGGAGAGTTTTTACAGGGACAGTTATATCAGAGAGTTAAGATTGCGGAGAGTTAAGATTTACCCACTTTTTTCAATCACCACACCCAACTCTCCTAATGTTTTTCCTCCATTAGAACAATCCCGCACCCAGAGTATGCCCGTTCGCAGGTTAGGTGCCACCTGCGAACGGGTATACTCCGGGATCCGACTGAATTCTTGCCTCGCTTCACAACAACAGAGATTTGGAAGTATGTTAACTCAAATTAACTCTCTAGAAACGTTTCATTAGCAAGAGACAAATAAAAAATCCAAGAATACGTACATTTACTGTCTGTCATCTGAGTACTTTTCTTGTCTGATACATTGAGTATATTGGGCACGTCGTGCTTGGTGTGCGTTCGACAGATTTTAGATACAGCAATTTGTTGAGATTATCTAAAATTGTCACTGCGAAATTGCAATAACATTCAGTAACAACTCATCCGATTTTCATTGCAATATATTTTTTCCCAAAAGTAATTGTGACGACAGTGTTTCGAATTTCGACCCCACCAGGATTCGAACCTGGAATCTTCTCATCCGAAGTGAGACGCCTTATCCATTAGGCCATGAGGCCACTTATCATCAGTTCCTAAGTACCATTATAAATTACCAAATTTTCCGCACGTTCTTCAAGAATTTCTCGGAAACATTTTCGCACTTGAAATGATATAAATATAAATTAAGATGATAATGTGATACGACTCCGCCAGGACTCGAACTTGGAATCTTATGATTTTTTTGTAGCTCTAACATGGCGGACGGTCATACAATTGTGAGCTCTGATGAGAAGTATGATTCGGGCAAGAAATTAATCATTGATCAAGAGAAATATACTGATAATGTTGTGAAATATTTAACAGTAAGTGATAAAGGCAAATTCAAATGGAATGGTCCCTTCCAAAGCCTAAAAATGTTGATGACCGAATTGACAAAGAACGAATCAAAATGGTCGGCATCAGGTGGTTATTGTAAATTGCTCGAACTAGACGACTTAGCTATAAGATGGTATGCAGACAGTAAGTCGCTTACAGTAAATGGGAAGTTGAGCGACGATATTAAATCCGAGCTTCGAAATATTGCCGGACTAGCACGTCCTGCAGTTGAAGTAACAAGTAATAACTATAAAGAAGCCGAACATGCGGCAATAAATACGGGACGCATGGATGCACCTGATAGTAGCTGTAGCTGTAGCTGTGCTTATATTAATGCCGATATGGAGGGTATTAAATTAGACCTTACAATTCTGGAATCGCGGCTGCTTGCTACATTGTCGGAAAATGAATATGAGTCGGACATTAACTTGCTTAGGGTAAAATTAAAAGAATTGGAAGGCGTTGTGCGGAATCAAGATGAAGTTAATCGCCGAATTATCGAGGAGAATGTATTTTTTAAATCAAAGTTATTATTCCTCGAGAAGCTAGTGCTTAATATGTCCCAAGGCTATCAGAACAAAGGTAGTGGATCAGGAACCCAATTAGCATTACAGAGGAATCGCCAACGCGTGACAGTGACCAACTTAGTAGCTTGAATAAAAATAGTTTGAGCTCGTCTCGCGGTACTAACGACAGCCTATCTCGTGATGGCGAACTAAGTGCTAATCTAACTGTAAATAATATTGATCTTCAACAATCTATAGTCTCGAATACTATTGATACTGACCCTAGGAATTCGAGCTTTAACGTTGTTGGAACACGCACACCTCAGGAACAAAATCAAATCCCATTACATGTTAGACAACAAGCCACTGAGGTGAATACTAGTAATATCGACCTTAGTAACCTGAGTCAACAACCCAATGACCCGAATACTAATGACATTGACCTAGGGAATATTAATGAGTCGCCTTCAAAGCAAATACTAGTACCGAGTAAACAGAAAAAAGATACTGGTACATTAGTGAATAGAACCTCGAAGCCCCTAAAATCACAACTTGAAAAGGAAGATAATAATACTGGAAAAAGCACTATACCCTGCCCATTTCTTAAGCGTCGAGGGTGGTGCGCAAAGGGAAGGCGTTGCGATTTTAAACATCCACGTGGTGAAAAAAAACATTTGGTGCCCTGTCCCTTTTTGCAAAATCGAGGCTATTGCTTAAAGGGTAGCGGGTGTGATTTTTCCCACAGTACCAATCATAACAGAACGGCATCACGGCCTGTTAATAACCATCCCAACCCACCTTTTTTTTCTTACCATCCTTACCATCGTCCTCCTATGGTCCCACATTTAAGAACACACGGAATGAGTGTCAACCGAAGTCCTCAAAGTTACTCCCAGTTTGCTCGGTTTTTTCAACATTGCCCGAAAACCTTAATGGAAATCCCTGTCCAACCTCCGTTTACCTTCGCCTTCCGCGAAAGTTATTAACTTTCTTTCTAGCGAACTCTCGATCACTTTTACCTAAGATTGATGAACTGAAAACTATTTTGCATATAAATGAGGTTGTGTTGGCCTTCATAACTGAGACATGGCTAAATGAAAATATTGATGACGGTGCCGTTGAAATTAGTGGCTTTTCCTTAGTTCGGCGTGATAGAATTTCTAGAATCGGGGGTGGCGTTTGTGCTTATATTAAAGACCAGATTCCTTTTAAAATCTTAACAGATTTGCATGAAGACAATTTTGAATCACTTTGGCTTTACCTGAGACCAAATAAACTTTTCCGTGGCTTTTCCTGCCTGATTATCTGTGTGGTCTATCACCCTCCCTCCAATGATAACTGTGCCTTAATTGATCACCTAACATCTAAACTTGACGCTGCTCTTATATTGTACCCCAACGCTGGTATTTTTCTCATTGGAGACTTTAATAAATGCCCAATTTCCTCCCTACTACGTCATTTTACTTTGAAACAGATAGTTAAAGAACCCACAAGAGAAAATTCCACATTGGACTTAATTTTGACAAATATGACTTCCTGTTGTAACTCTCCGGTGTTATTACCCCCTGTCGGCCAAAGTGACCATAATTCCGTACTGTGGTCCTTTAATAAAAATACAGCTAAATATGGTACATCAAAAGTGAAAACTAGACAAGGTAACAATCATGACAGGAGAGCATTCGGTAAGTGGCTAGCTGATATAAACTGGAACAACTTGTACCGCGTTGAATCATGTGAACAAAAGTTAGATTTTTTTCAATCAGTTATAAATACTGGTTTGGACTGTTTTTTCCCTAGTAAAATTGTAAAGTTGCACGATCATGATAAACCATGGGTTACAGTCGGATTTAAGAAAATTATAGAAAATAGACAAAGAGCGTTTCGTCAGGGCAAAAGTCCGCTATATCGTAGATTGAGAAATCTTGCCAATAGAGAAAGTAAGAGACTCAAGTCAACCTTCCTTAAGAAAAAGATGGATGAGTTAAAACTAAACCCCAATGCTAAAAAATGGTGGCAATGTATAAAACAGCTTGCGGGTTTCGCCAAGAACAAAACATTCTCTAATTTCGTTGTAAACAACCAGGTTTTTGCTGGTAAAGAGTTAGCAGATAAAATCAATGATGTTTTTGTCTCATCTACCCAAGATATTCCTCCCTTGAATAAGTCTCCAGTTGATGACCTAATTGAAAATGGCAGTACAAGTATCCTTCCACAGTTTATTATCGAAGAAAAAGATGTATACTGTAAATTGTCCGCCATCCCCGTTTCCAAATCACCTGGTCCTGACGGAATACCTAATTGGGTGCTTAAATCTTATGCATACGTTCTTTCTTCCCCTGTGGCATCGATTTTCAACGCTTCGATTCAAGAAGCAGTTGTACCCTCAATGTGGAAAAAAGCGAACGTTATCCCTGTTCCAAAAAAATCAGTCCCTAAAGACATTTCTAAAGATTTGCGCCCTATCTCACTTACCCCCACTTTATCCAAAATTTGCGAACGGTTTGTTACAGACTGGTTACTTAAGTCAGTTGGTGCAAAGATTGATACGCGGCAGTTTGGCTCCGTTAAAAATTCCTCGGCTACCCATGCCCTACTGAGCCTGATCCATCACCTCCTGAGTGCTACAGATGCTTCAAGCAATGCGGTGAGAGTATTCTTGCTTGATTTTGAAAAAGCTTTTGATCGAATAGATCACAACATACTGGTGAATAAGCTACAACAAATGAGTGTTTCCCAAACCATTATAAATTGGATTAGAAGTTTTCTCTCTGATCGTAAACAACGAGTCAAGTTGGCTAACTGTCATTCGGACTGGCAAACGTTAAACGGTGGAGTGCCGCAAGGGTCGGTGTTAGGGCCGGCTTTGTTCCTTGTTATGATAAATGATCTTCTTATTGATTGGAGCGATAGATGGAAGTATGTTGATGACAGTACGTTTGCTGAACGAGTTACATCAACTGAGAGTAGTGAACTACAAGATCTAGTGAATGTTATCTATAATTGGTGTGAAGTTAATAATATGAAGCTCAACATCGGCAAATGTAAGGAAATGGTAATTGACTTTGCAAGAGAAAAACATGAGTTTTTACCGTTAACTATAAATAACGTTGGTATTGAGCGGGTAAAATCTGCCCGAATTCTTGGTCTCTCAATCCAAGATGATTTGAAATGGAACGAGCATGTGAACCATATTGTTAAAAAAGCGGGAAAACGCCTTTATATGCTAAGGTTGTTAAAACGATCAAATGCCGACAATAGCATTCTAATTTTGGTATACTGCACCATTATCAGACCAGTACTCGAATATGCCTGCCAAGTTTGGCACTTCAATATTACAGAATACCTAAGTGAAGATATCGAAAAACTCCAGAAGCGGGCTCTGCGTATTGTCTTGCCATTCGCTACTTATAGAGAAGCTTGCATGGAGACAAATTGGGTGACCTCTTACCGCCTAAACTTGAACGGCATAACTATAATACACGTTATGGAAGCGATTATAATAACTATAGTTGTAAAACGGACAGATTTATGAAATCGTTTTTTCCACAGATGGTTTCACATATGAATAGACCATAATTTTAATATTTTTAATATTTTTAAATTTGAACTCTATAACTTTTTCAACTGAAGTTATGAATAATTTTATGCATCTAGATATTCTATTGTAGTATAATGAGACTTTTTACTGATGTAATTTAACCTAATAGGTTACAAATCGGTATTTTATTATTAAATTATTATTAAGTTAGCCTGCGAACAGGCCCTGGGTTGCGGGCGGCGCGAAGAATAGAGGGCCTGCACGGAACTATAGGTTTTCTTGGTAGTAACCTGAAGTTCAGGCCCTAATTTGAAATAGGGCCTGACACAAAACCTGTCTAGACCGTGGGACGCCCACATGTTATTTTTAGACACACATGCAATATGATTGACAAGTGTTGTAGATTTCGTTACACAAAAAATTTATATTCTCATGAACATGTCCGCAGAGCATTTTGCTTTAAAAACTAAAACTAACTTTATTAAACTTAAAAATTCAAGGTACTTTTATATAATTAAGAGTCTGTTTCTCTATTTAACCGAACAGGCGAACAGCAAACAAAGATTTAATTAGTCAGTTCTGTGCACGGCTTCACTGCCAAGCTTTCTCAAGGTCTCAACTTGCTGGACGCGGATATACTCTATAACAGCAACAATTAAATTCTCAATCATACCACGAAGAAGGCGATGTAGCTCAGACAACAATTACGCCGGTAGGACCTGATATTAAAAATAAGATTTTTGCCGGCGAAGCAAGTTGGCAGAACATCTTGGCTGTCAACAACAAGCTTTCGAATACATGACTAGTTTGGCTGTTCTTTCAGCGTCGTGTGTGTCCAAATTCGTCAAAGATTTTGATGAAGCCCTTTCAAAATATTGTTTGTTTGATTTATTTTCTGCCATAAAGCATAAAAGAAAAGAAATTCGAAGAAATCGATAATGGAATTTGTTACGTGCGTTTGACCTTTATATTAATTCTCGCCTTGACCGAGCTATTTTTAAAACTGTTGTTTATGTGAACTTGCAACCAATCAAAATCCTTCATAATGCTGATCAACCAATCAGATTTCCCGTCCACCAGGTGGACGGGAATCCCACACTTTAGATAGGTTTTGTGTCAGGCCCACTGATCTGAAATAAGACTGGATAACGCATCTATAGTATACGAAAGTGAAGCCGGAAGTCACCGGCCGCCACCCGATTCTGGGGCCCCACTTTTGTATAGATTTGTATTACAGACGGTAGTTTTTCGCGTTTTTTGCCTTGGCTACATTTCCGATCGGGCCAATTTTACAATCACAACGATAGAAGCATACAAGAAGATTTTTGAGCCAAAAATTTGGAGTATTATGGCTTTATAACGCCGTGAAACGGGATTTACAACTCTGAAGGAGTGGAGAGCCTCAGACTTTGTTTATCAACACGAGCTCGTTTTGCTACTTTCATACAAAATCAACTCAAAATATACAAGAATTATTGTTACTGGACGAATATTCTCACGCAATTTGAAGAAATGAAGCAGCTACATTGTGAACAAAAGCGGCGTACGGAGGTTAGTTTTAAAATACTTCGAGGCTACTTCCATAATTATATGAATTAAAATAACATATTGAGTCGTTGTTTATAATTTGGATTAAAAATATTTCATTGTCACTTCACTTGTCTTCCTACTTTAAAACATATAAAACTTCTCGACAAGTCGCCTAGAAATGCTTTTGACAAAATTGGCATTTAAAACTGTTCCTTATTAAATTCGTATAATTATAAAAGCGAGGGGCAATTCACTCCAAAAATCCCGTACACTTCGTCAAAAAATCCGGAAAAAATCCAGAAAAAATCCATGAAATCCTCAAAATCCGTTGAATCCATCAAAATCCTTTAAAAAACACAGAAATCCTTCAAAAATCCACAGAAATCCTTCAAAATCCTTAAAAAATCCGCAAATCCACAAAAAAAAATATGAAGTACTTGGTGTAATTTACTCGTAAAGGTTCTTTGCCACGTTCAAAATGGCGGGCAGCGAAAGCTAAACGCTTACCGTGATCGCTGTCATTATATTTCGTAATTATTGGACCACTCTACATTTCCATTTATACGCTCGATAGGCTTATTTATTATAGGCTTTTTTTAGCCTATTACTACTAAATATGTGTTCTTGTTACAATGACGTTATGTTGTAAAATATAATTACAAAACCAAAAGTTATTCACCATTGTCTTTTACTGTTTTTGAAAGAATAATGAACTCGTTTGAATTTTAAACAAAATGACTGCATGCCCAGCCTTCGTTAGTTTCAGAAAGCTGTGGTCCTAGTCCCAGTCCTCTGCTCGACCCTGACGTCCTGGCATAACGTTGACATCGTACAACTTAAGATTATTTGTTCAAAACGTTACCTAGCTCTATAACTCTATAATTAAAAAAAGTCCAGAAAAAATCCGAACAAATCCGC